ATGTTGCTGTCCACCTAGCATTTATTATAAAAGCAAAGAAAGGAATTTTATTGAGATAAAGGGCAGATAAATTTAAATGCAATACAAAACCAAAATAAGACTCTATGGCAAAATAAGAATGCCCCTCGGAGGCATGCACTGAAAATAATAGATAATCAGGACCTACACCAAGCCCCAGGGAAATGTCTATACTTAGATTTTCAGCCACTGAAAGAAAACCCTCTCAGAAGAGTGAGACTTAATCCGGAAAGGCCCATTAATAACCGAAACATGAAGGTCTACATTTCCAACAATGACAGGTCATTTTGCACGTCTTGCCTGTCGGGTGTCCAATTTTAAGGAACTTTAATGGGATTTCAAAGGAAAGACATGCAGCATTTCCTGAGACTACTTGATGTGGCATCTGAAATGACTTCAAAATCACCTCTGAAAGTAAAGATGTATATGTGGAGTCATATTATACCGTACCATTTCTTGTATACAGAAAAACAGCCCTTCAGCATGTCCATGGATATTGTGCATGTGAAAATGAATGAGACTGAAGCGTTGAAGATAACACAGCCAATAAACCACACACCAGCAGCAATGGGTACCGAAGGCTCCTGGATGCTGCCGCAGGGGAGCACTTAGCATCCCTGTCTTTGTCAGAAATGTGTTTTTATGCAGATGGAGGCACCTGAGGCACGCTTACATTCCAGCAACCTGTCCAGCCCATCCCCTGTCATCACCTCGGCTTTGTGCCTCAGAGAATGGTACAGTGACCAGTGACTGATCGTACTGAGAAGCTGAAGAGAGGTACACACTGGGGCTGATGTGGAATCCTCCAGGGCTTGGCTCAAATATGTAAAGTTGGATGAAAAGATCTGAACAGAGAGACACCTGGTCTTGTGTAGCTCCTCTGACAGCAAACGAGAGGTAATGGGTAAAAGTAATCATGGTCCTGCTTATGGACATAGCAAAAGAAAATCAAACTGAGGCTGGCCAAGCAGGTGATGAACAGTATTGTCTGCAGCATAAACACGAGCTAGTGTTACTTCCAAAGCACAGGTTCAAGGGAGATTTGTTTAGTGCATACACAAGCTGCTTGTTGACGTTCACAGTTCAATCCCTTCCTTCTGAAATACAGCCTTTCTCTGGCATGCATCTTTTCCCTTTCAGAGTTGTTCCTTGGCAGATATAGTGGAAGCTTCTTTCATAGCAAAGGTGGCTTTCCACTTAATTGCACTGCGATGCTGCTACTGCTCTGGGCAACTTAGTGCTCCAAGGATGAGGAGCCAGAGAGGAGCCAGGAGAGATTGGTGTGAGTGGCATCCCGTTGCTTTTGGACAGCTCTGCGTGCATTACTGGCTGCTCTAATAGCCTGTTGAGTGAGAGGAACAGAAAGGAGGTAAGTCCAAATGTACGCTGAAAAAAAAAAAAAAAAAAAAGAGCTCACTCAGGAAGCCAGTTATTGCTTTTTTGTGTGTGTGCTTTACCCTGAGTGGCTGCAAATGGACTTCTGCAGCTTTCTCTATTAACCTACATTTTTCAGCTCAGGTGCAAGGTGCTAGTTATTTGCCCATGAACAATCTCTTTGAAAATAAAGAGCTGTAACTCAAATATTATACATATATATATAGGTAGTACTAATACCTGTATGTTTGAAAAGGTCTGGCAAAACAGACAGAATGTCAAGAGCTAGATTTTTCTGTGGACTAAAAAAATTAGCATAATTTTCTAGCCGCAGAGCTTCAGAAGATCTGCTGTACAAATATTGAAGTCAAACATCTGGAGAATGGAAAGATTAAAAAATACGTGTAACCTTTAATAACCAAAACCATCCAGACAGTAAAATAACAAAGCCACCAGCAGAAAGTGTGGGTGAATCCTAGCATCTGTGGAAAAGTGTGATCCTGAGATGGTTCCCTTGACTCATTGAGAACAATGCCCAAAAGTGTCTTCTGAGCTTTGGAAGGCTAAGCAACAGCAAGTTGTTTCCCAAAGGTACTGTCAAATGTACTCTGGTCTCAGAATTAAGTGTAGATTTGTGCTTTAGAGAAAAGAATGTAGCATCTTCTGTGACAAACAAAAAACAGACAAACAAACAACAACAACTAAGGGGCTTCAGTCCTCCTGGGTCACTCAAAGTTGCATTTTCTTTTCTAAATTCTCTAGAGACTAGCTCTGCTTTGTCTTTCTACTTGTTGCCAAATTAGAATTTACCACATGAATTTCCTTTTTTATTTTCTTCACCGAGAATGACTGCAAAGAACCATTCTAACACTGCCCAGTCTCTGGGCATTTATTTCCTCTAAGATGCTGCCATTTCCTTGCTAGATAGCTTGTCCTTAAATGCAAGAATTCGTGCATTCCTAATTCACAACAGGCAACAATAATTTTTGTGCTTTGTGAATGTTTTGTGAATTAAAGCACTACCTACAAACAACAGAGATCATTCTCCTGTCAGCCATTTGGCTTCATGCTGCATATTGCAGCATTGCAACTCTAGTCTCGGATGCAAAGCCATCCATGTACTTTCAGCCATTCATTTTGTGACCTCTTAGCTGCAGCGAGACTGTACAGAGCTACATTTGCAGGAAGATGTAAGAGCACAATAGCCTAAGCCTTGCTGTCATCTTTGTACTAGTGAATTCCTGAAAGAAACCAAAAAAGAAATCAAAACTTCAAAAGTCTCATGATTTATTCTGGATTGCAGCAACCACAAGTGCACAGCAAAACATCAGCTAGCCCATGGCTTATTGGCCATGCTTTCTTGTATCTGTGCAGTCCATTTTTCATATTGCAGCAGCAATATTTGAGGATTGCAGTTTGTTTACAGTTGGCCAGCTAGGTTTCAATCATGCATCACAGCAGTGCACTGTTCAGGTGTTGGACCAGTCTGAAACAGCTTATTGGAAGAGATGTGGTTAACCAACCTGAATGGCTCTCAAAATCACAGCCAGTATAACTTTGCAAATAAGGTTTTAAACTTGCTTAGAGGAGATGGGTAACAGAAAAGTGCAAAATTCTCACAATTATATATAAACAGATAATTAAATGCAAAGTAAGCTTTAAGTTTATTCCACTTTAATAGGAATTTGGGAGTGGTACACAGGATTTTGGAACAAAAGCTCTTATACATACATATATATATATACATAAAGCAAATATAATATTCTGCATTAATACCATGAATTAATAGCTAAAGTGAAAAGTCCCTCTATAACCACAAGAAATAATGTAAAGATTTCATTCCAATCACACAGTAAATTTAATAGACTTAACTGTCAGATGATTTCTCATTGCCTATGACTTATGATGCTAAACTCAATTCTGCTGCCTCAGTGTAAATTAATGTATATTCAAAGAAATTTTTAGATGTACTCCAGGTACAAATGCTTTTGGTGTAAACAATTATAACTTGGACTTGCTTTCCTTGAAAGGAACAATTTTCTGGGAGAGAAACGCAACTAGACCATAAGTAGCTTGTGTGTTATATTTTAATTAGTAGCTTTGTGATCATCATCTCTCAGTTGTGTAACTATCAGTCTTGTGGGAAATGCATTTATGGGAGCAGTCAGCTATTGAGGAGGACAGGCTCATAAATAGGCATGGATTATAAATCATCATCACAGTACGCACCTAACAACAAGTCAGAAGCTGTGACTGACAGTTTACTCATCATGAAGAGATTCATTTCAAAAAGGAGAACATGTGAGACACCACGAGCTCTTTTAAGAGAATCAGTAATTAACTATTTTTAATTAGAGGAGCAAATGAAAAACCCCAAACCCATACGACCGCCCCCTCACAATAACAACTCTCATGGTTTCATCGTGGGCAGAAGGTAACCAACAGGTGTTTGAACTCTTCATAAAGCTTCACTGAACTATTACCTTATCTTTCACTGCCTCTGTCTTATATGGACACCTCTGCAAAAGGACTCAATACACCATAGAATATGCCCAAAAAACTATACGCAGCTACGGATTTTGTGGGTAGCAGAACCACCTGCAAGAGACTGTGACTTGCTAATCCCCCTTAGGTTGACTGCAATCTATGATCACATTGTCTGAATCACCATTTTAAATCTTTGTTTAAAAAAAAATAAAAATCCAAGCAGATTCATACCCGGAAAAACTCTGTCGTTATTTTTTAAATCAGTCTAAGTAAGTATCACGTTATGAAAGCCTGCTCCAGGGGTATTAAAGAAACTTTTTGCTAGGCAAGAACCTATCGAGCGTTACAGTGGGCAGATCAGTCGTGTAAAAATTAAATAGCTCTGCTCCACAGTGTTTTAATTCAGATCTTAATTAAGCAGAGAAAATCCGGCAATCTTCTCGCCACCTCTGGGTTTGCTCTTGTGTGTTCTCCTCCCCCCGCCTGTCTCAGTAACTGCTTCTGACCGCAGCCCCTGCCCAGCGGGGCAGTGCCAGACACAGCCCGCCCCGCTGCCGCTCGCTGTGGCCCGAGGGACGCGCAGAGGCCCCGCTCCGCGGCCATGCCCAGCTCCCGGTTTCACCGGGCGGGCGGGCGATGCAGCCGCAGTACGGCCGCCACCCGCAGCACCGCGCACCGGGCGCGCCGTGAGCCGTGAGCGCAGCGCCCTGCCCAGGCGCGGACGGCCGGGGGGGGCCGGGGGGGCCGCGGGGCTCCCGCTACGAGGCCGCCCGCAGCCAGCACCGCGCCCGCTGCCGCCCCCCGACACGGGGAGCCCCGCCGCGAGCGGGCTGACGCGGGCCGGCCTCTGCCCGGCGCCTCTCGCCCCGCGGCCGGCTGCCCGGCGCGGGCGGCAGGGTGCAGCCAGGGGCAGCTGCCGCCTCCTCGCCCCGCAGTGCCCCACCCGCCCCCACCGCGTGCTCGCGCCCCGCGGCTTTGCCGGCACCGGCGGCCCCGCCCCGCCCCGCCCCGCCCGGCCGGGCCAGCCAATGAGCCGCGCCCACGCCTCCAGCGAGAGCTGCCCGGCACGTGCCTGACCGAAAAGCGCCGGCCTCCCGGGCCGCCGCCGCCGCTCCGCCGCCCTGCAGACGCGCCCGGGTCGCTCCGCGCTGCCGCGGGGCCGCGGCTCCCTGCCGGGAGCCCTCCGGGCAGCAAACCGGCCGGGCGCCTGCGGCGGCGGGACGCGAGGGGCCTCGCCCGCGGGGGCCTCGCGGCGCGGTGCATGCTGGGAGTTGTAGTCCAAAACGGTGGCGGCCACACGGAGCGTGAGCGGGGCGGGCGGCGGCGGAGAACTACAACTCCCGGGGAGCCCCTCGCTCGGGGCAGGCGGTAGTGCCGCGGGGCCGCGGCGGCGGTTGTGGCGGGCGGCGGGGCCGTCATGGACCTGTTCGGGGACCTGCGGCGCATGAACAAGCGGCAGGCGGGTGGCGGCGGGGCCCGGCGGGGGGCGGGGGGTGCCGGGCGGGTCCCGGCCCGGGGCCGTGGGGCCGGCTGCCCGCCGGGGCTGCGCCGTGCCCCGGGGCGCCGCTAAAGCCGCGCCGTTGTCTCCGCAGCTCTACTACCAGGTGCTGAACTTCGCCATGATCGTGTCCTCCGCCCTGATGATCTGGAAGGGGCTGATCGTCGTCACCGGCAGCGAGAGCCCCATTGTGGTGGTGCTCAGGTGGGTGCAGGCGGAGGTGGAGGCGCTGCCGGCCGTGCCCAGCCTTGTCCCGCGGCCTCTGGTAACGCGCGGGGTCCGGGCATCGCCGTGCAGAAGGCCACAAACGCTTCCCGCTGTGTCTGTTCGGGCGCTGAGCAAAAGCCACTCGCAGTTGCGGTCTAATTTGGTGAAGTCTGTGGAAGCAGTAAGTGAGCGAAACCTTTGAAAGCCGGGGTTCGTTCCCGTAACGTACAGACCATCAGCTCAAGGTTGGTTGTCTGTATTGCTACCTAGGAACAGTAATCCTTGGACAGAGGGGTTGTGATTCCAACACCCAGTTCTGCTTTACCAGGAGCACACATAATCCTGTGAGGCTTCTGTTGCCTGAAGAATTCAGTAGGCGTATCGCACCTTCTAAAGGCACTGAACATTTTCAGGTTTATTTGTTCGTTTCTTTTTTACCATTTGTGCATCTAAAATTGCATTACAGTAAAAGCTGCTTTTTTAATAATTTACACTTCTGCATGGCTTTTACCACAATGCTAACTTACTTCAGGTACGTAAAGACCCAGTCCTGGAGGCCCCTGAGTACTGACCAAATACACAAACTCACAAACTTTAAACACATGTTAACGGAAGATTCGGCCCTGTAGAAATTGAGTGTGCATTAGTAAAGACCATATGCAGGAAATAACAGCATTTTGATGGAAGAAGTCTGTTACAGCAGATGGTAATGGGATCTGGAGTCCTACCTGTAAGGATGTTACCAAAACCTACTGTGTCTGGCTTTGGAGAAAAGGCATGGACTTTTCTGGTCATCAGTAGTAATCGTTGGTGCAGCTAAAAGTTTTACTCTTGTTAGCTCAACTCAATGTAGAGAAGTCTTTCTGGTGCTGCTCTGAAACATCTTTTGGGGTTTTTGCTAATGCATTGGTTTTCTTAAGCAGAATGGCTTATTTTGTTCGTTCATGATAGCTACAATACTGTTACTTTTCTATAGAGCTTATTTGTTTTATTTCTTTCGCTGAGGCAGTAAGAACATCTTCTATAGGCTGGCTCAGCTTGGAACTTGATGAGGTTTCAGTTGCGTGTTAAATGTCTGTATGGTGTTGCTGAATGGTGGAAGCTACAGATTTCGGTTAAAATTGTGAGTTTATCTGTAAGAATTAACTGCTCTCTGTATTCATGTTTCTTCCTTTGTTTGCCATAATGCTGATACATTTTTTCTTTGTTTGTAGTGGCAGCATGGAACCAGCTTTTCACAGGGGAGACCTGTTGTTCTTAACAAATTTCCATGATGACCCAATCCGAGCCGGTGAAATAGTTGTCTTTAAAGTTGAAGGCAGAGACATTCCAATAGTTCACAGAGTAATCAAAATTCATGAAAAGTAATGCAACTTGGCATTTTCTTTGTTTCTAAATATAGTTTTCCTACTCCATGATTTTCACTTACATTATAATTACCTAATATTTTGTGAAAAAGGCAAGCAAGGATTTGCTGTAAGATACAGCTTGTCTCTAGGATGTGATCAGCTTCTGCTCCCCGTTCTGTGGCATGCTTCTTGAGACTCTGGCTACTGTCCCTCAGCAAAGTTGGTCAGGTTCAAAGTAGGTAAACCTACGCCAAAGAGGAGTCCAGAAACACAAGCTGTACACGTCATTTTTTTTCCCATTTTTTCCCATTTTTTTTCAAATACTTACATCCAAGAACTACCTCTTTTATTATTTTGTTTTTTAATACTTAATTTGTCTTCATAAAAACTCCTTATTTGTTGATATCACTACTGGCAATTAGCAGCTTTTTGAGAAAAATAATTTTGAAGACTGGAGACCTACTAACTTTGTTTGAATGGGAGTGTTAAACCGAAATCTTGCACATATCTGCATGTGCATAATGCTTAAAAGGGAGCAAAACATGACAAGTTTTCTAACACCAACAGTTACATTTTGTTTTCAACATGATATAATTTAAGGTGCTCTGTCCATTTGAAACAGTAGGGAAAGGCAACGATTTGTGTGAAGGGTTCAATACCTGTATTCCTACAAAAGGAATGAGCCGTCTAATGGCCAGGAGAAGTCAGGACATCAGCTCTGGCTGCAGGGGAGCAGCCAGGCTCTGAGCACTGCGTACGTTTATTCATGTGGGGGAAAGAGTGCAGTGCCACCTACTGAAGCTGTTCGCATCACTTTTACTGCCATGTATGGGGAAAGCAAAACCCCACATAATAACTTTGTTCACCCAGTGTTATTTCAAGGCTTGTTACGTGTATTATTTCTTGTCTGCCCCATTAACAAATAACAAAGATAAATGAAGTTTTGCCAGGAACTTGCTATATTGTTTAGCTAAACAGTAAGTGACTTGAAAGTGTATTGCAGTGACAAAGTATTGACAAAATATTTAATTTTGATGCAGATTTGCAGCTATGTTAAGGGGTTCTCAGTATTTACTTGCATCAAAAGGAGGACAGGACTTTATTTTGATTAAAATGCGATTACTAGGAGATAAATATATAAAAGAGAAGTACGTGGAGCATTCTGTTATACTGTTTTCTTTACTACAGGAAAATCTGGGGGTATGCCTCATGCTTCATGAACCTTGTGGTTAAAATTCAGTTAAATTCATTCTGCAATGTGCGATGACTTCATGGGGTCTTACTCAACATATTGTCATAAAAAGAAAAAAACACAAGCCTTTTAAGTTTTTGCACTGTTGAGATCTTTGATAAATAAAATACTGTTTCTAGGTTTTTTTGTTTGATTGATTTTTAGCTTAAAATTTCTGTTCTATTGAAAATAGAAAGGATTTTTTGTTTTGTTTTGTTTCCCTCCAGATTGGCATATCCTGATTTTGTTAAGGAAATTTAGTGCCAGTTCTGGACAGAAAATATCCAGATCATAATATCCTTTCATATTCATTGTGTAATTGCTTACATCAGATGACAGCCTAGGAAAAACGTCTCTTGTTAAAATCTGTTGACTCTGTCAGTAAAGTCTAAAATGTTAATGATTTAATGGTGTTTGTTAAATAAGCAGGACAGGCAGGACTGGAAGTAAACACTGTTATCTAATCTTGTAGTACGTTTCATTGTGCTTTGTAGATGTCAATTGTGGTTTTTAAATTAAGTGGTATTTATTTTATCACCTCGTTGCCTTGTAGAGAAAATGGGAACATCAAATTTCTGACCAAAGGTGATAATAATGAAGTTGATGACAGAGGCTTGTACAAAGAAGGTCAGAACTGGTTAGAGAAGAAAGATGTTGTTGGAAGAGCAAGAGGGTGAGTGATGCAAAGTCTGTTCTCTATAACTAAAATAGAAAAAAAAATGAACATCAGTTCCACTCTTCTATGTAGTGTGGTATTTATTGAATTTCATAAATAGAATGGTGATAAAACTAATTTACCTGGCAAAGTGGTGTTCTGTAGCCTTCTCACTAATGTGGACCGGGAATATTTTTTTTCTTTTTAGAAAAACAGCACACTTAACACACCAGTGAAAAAACCTAGCCAACCTATCCTTGCAATTGTTAGAATTTACTAGGAAATGTTTCCACATCTCATGAGAATCTTATGCAAAGTTTGAGCTTGTTTCCTTTTCCCCAGTTGAGATAAAAATTCAACCTCTTAAGACTTTTCTCAAATAATCTAAATTTTTATGTAAGCAATACATAGGCATATATATATATATATATATATATATACACGCACATGTGTGTGTGTATGTATGTATGTTGAGATATATAAACTTAATTCCCACGTCAGGTGTGCATTACTGACAAGTGTAAATGATGGTTTTGCACACTTGTGATTTTGGTCACTTTTGCTCAGAACCTGTTACAGAGCATTATTTGGGCTAGGAGAATGTTGTTAATGCAACAAGAAGCTTGATGCGTGTTCTGCCGTATTCAGTGGGCAAAGATTAACAGTGTGAGCCAACCCTAGTAGAAAGTAGGACTTTCTGTATCAGGTTACACATCTGTGTATTTTCTTGCCTAATATAAGTGTTCCATAAGCAGTCACAAATATAGTAACTTGCATAACAGTACAAACTACTTTTCTGGAATAATATTTATTTGCTTGTTATGTTAAATTAAATGTGTATTTAAATGTTAAATTAAGTTCCATATTCACTTAAAATTCTTTCTGTTTTAGATCATATGGCTTTTATACCTTCATAACAACTGAAAAACTGATTCTGATGTGTTGCAGGATGTTAGGCTTGCTTTTGCCAGTACCCCTCATTTTGGTGATACTTGCCATTTTTGGGGTGCATGTGTACTTTTAATGCTATGAATAATATTCAGCAAGTTGAAGGATTTACATGATGGAAGGAGTAGGGAGTCAGAAATCTTGCTCCCAAATTTGAATTATCAAGTACATACTGTCTTTAAAACCTTTGTTATCTGTCTGAATGTTTTTGTTTTCTCTGAAATCCATTATCTAAAGTTTTCAAGACCGAGTAACATTGAAACATGTCCATGTCATTTTTGAGGGTTAATTTTACATTCATCTTTTTTGTCAATTACAGGTTTTTGCCCTATGTTGGTATGGTAACTATAATAATGAATGACTATCCAAAATTTAAGGTATGTATACAAACACTTTGAATACTTAAATCTAAAACTAAAAAATAGCAAATAAAGGTAATACGAAAAGAATCATGATACATGCAAATAAATTTTTGTTGTTAGCTAATATGAAATAAGTAGTGTTCTTATGCTTTCTTAATTTAGCTTGACTGTTACCCAGTAGAACTGACTATTTTTAATCATTTGAAAACCATGTATAGGATGTAATGAGTTAAGCATACACAGTTGTGATGCCTATTTATAAAGAATATGATCACACCAGAATACTGCTGTAATTTTACAGGAACACAGCTCAGTAACTGTACTCATCTAGAGGTGTAGAAGGCATGTTTCAAACAATTCGTGATTTCAAAGCTTCTCGTAAAAGAAATTTTAATCAGTCTTCATTCTTTTTCTTCTGCAGTATGCTCTTCTGGCAGTAATGGGAGCTTATGTACTACTGAAACGGGAATCCTGAAGGAAGGAAAAGGAAAAAAATCACTTTTCCAAGAACAAAATACAAAGTTAAATATACAGGAGAAAAAGCCTAATATATTTCAGATGTTTTAATTTCTGTATACTGTTACAAAACCGTGCAAACTTTTGTCTTGTCTAAATAAACTGTGCAATTAAAGCTATTGGCTGATGGTTAATTATATAATGGCAAATTTACCATCTGATCTACGTATTCCTTTGTTAGCCTTTTGCAAAGGGGAGACACTGACTGTCGTGCTAGAGTAGCTTATGGTGATCCTTAACATGCTGTAGAATACAGTGATCTCGCTGTGGTCTGATGAAGGCTCTTTTGTTTTAAAGTGGTACTGCAACTGAACTTATTTTGCCCTTCCTGTGTGTTCAATTATTTTGCTTGATTATTTTTGATCTCTTGTCAACTCAATCTCTTCACAATCTTGCAAACTGTTTTATTAGTACTAATAAAGACATAGCATATGGGTTGGAACAGTGGTAAGTTGTAGGAGGTTAGTCACACTGATGCCTAAAGAAAGTTGTCTAGATATGGTTGAAGGGGAGCAAAACAAGAAACGAGCTTTTATTGTGATTAAGAATTGAGAAACGGAAATGTAGTGGTTTTACTGTTTGTTTGTTTTGTGAACATGAAACTTGCTCCTCAGTGGGCTAGAGACAAAAACAATTAATGGCTGGATTTTTAGGCACTCTACGTGATTCTAGAATGCAAGGTATTAACCTTTCTGCCTTTATGTTCCTTGCTGTAAGACCAACCTAACAAAAAATCTTTGTGGGGATTTATTAATACTTAAGAATTACTAAATGAGAGGCACAGTTGTGTGCTTCAGAAATATTACCAATAAGGGAAAAACATAACCCAAATTCCTGTTTTGAGGATGTATTGTTCTCTCCTGTCTTATGACACCAGAAGACTTGAACATAATTTTTTTTTTTTTTTTCATTTTAAAACTTACCTGATAACCATCTTACATGAAGTTCTGGGTCTTTCTCTTCTTGGATTCAAATGTCAATTTTGTGCCATCGACAAAGCAAACCTTGTTTTCTTTACTTGCTTTGGTTTTGTTTCTTTGATAAGGAACAGCGTGATGCTTTTTTTCTATGGAGTTTTGTTTCTTCTGTAATCCCTCACCTCTACAAAAATATGCCATTATACAATAATGGCACCCCTTCTGTTGTAACTGCCAGTGCTGAAAAGCAGGTAACTGCTGAATTTTTCCAAGTAATATTACTTCTTTTGTGTCCTACTAAGCAGTCTAAGCAGTTTTCACAACAAACTGTATTACAAAAATGACTTATTTTGTATCAATTTGTGTAGAAATAAAATTGAGTATAATAAATAACATGTCAGAATAATTTAGGTATTCTTAAGGCAGTCTTTCTGGAAGTGTACCATCCCAGTTAAGAAAAAATAATTTTTGGAGGCAGTGTATGGGTAGTAAGTCCTGTTCACCCGGACCAGTGTTCCTGAAATCAGAATTTATTCCTACTCCTATACAATTGCAGTCAATTCTACCTTTGAGAGTGGGATTCTGGACATACCCAAAATGGGCCAAGCTTATCATTTGGGTTGTTTTATCTTCATAGAATCATAAAGTGGTTTGGGCTGGAAAGGATCTTGAAGCCTATCGTGTACCATCCCCCTGCCAGGAGCAGGGATGCCTCCCGCCAGCCCAGGCTGCCCCCAGCCCCATCCAGCCTGGCTTTGGGCACTGCTAGAGATGGGGCATCCCCAGTTTCTCTGGGCAGCCTGTGCCAGTGCATCACTGCCCGCATAGTAAAGAACTTCTTCCTAATGTTTAATCTAAATCTTCCCCCTTTCAGTTTAAAGCTGTTCCTCCTTGTCCTATCAGTTGTGTTCAGTGGAGCCAACACAACGCACAAACCCAGGATGAAGTTAGCAACTCTCCGCTGGAAAACAGAAATATAAATGCAAAGGAGGAGAAGCAGGTTTAGCTTTTGGGAACAGTGAGCTGCTAGATTTTCCCAGCTGTAGCATGTTTTTCACTGCTGTGCTTCAAAAACAAATACGCTCTTGCTCTAAGAATGCATTTGTATTTGCTTTGAGAAACAACTAATGGAGCAGGCTTCTAAGGAACACCAGGGAAGCAGTGGAAGTAGTACCATGTACTACAGAGCTGGGAAGTCAAACTGCGTAGCAATGTGCACCCTTAGATTAAGAATTCTCCAACAGCAGCAGGAAGTGAACATGAATACTTTGAGATTGATCAGACCGTGGCTGAGATCATGCTGTGAAAGCCCCACCTGACCCAGTCTCTGCCCATAACCCACTGTGTGTTGCTGAGCATTGGCTGTCGTAGCTGCTGCATGTGGTTTGCATTGCACTGTTCAGTGGCAACACTCCTGCAGCCTAAGGCTTCCTGAAAATGCTAGCTAGCCTGAGCAGAGAGGATCCTCCATGTCGGGTGGGTGAATAGGAGAAAAGAAATGTGATTAGATAGATCATGTGTAAAGCCATAAGGCACAAAATTCTAAGGACACCACCTGAACCTTTCTTGCTTGCTCTCATTCCCAGCCCACTTTCTCTTTCTTCAGATAGCATTTCCCCAGCATGTCACTGAAATTCTAGTTTATGGCAGTGAACTGGCATGAAACAAAGCTATCCAAGGGTTTAGGATGTCTTCCAGGTCCAAGACCATAGCTTGCTAAGTTAGGTCTTTTGAGCTGTAAGCATTACACTTCTGTAAACTGTAGAGTGTGAAGTCTTTTTCTCAGAGGAGAGGAAATGATGTTGTATACTAAGCTTGGTTAATCACATCTCTTTTTCTCAGAGAAAAAAAATGCAAGCTATGCAGCACATGCTTTTTACAGGAGAAGTGCTTTGCAGTTCTGCAGAATGTGAATAGCCCAGCTTTTTAAGACATTTGTCTTATTTTGAACATCAATGCTGCTGACAGGATTTGTCACTCAGAAAGAAATGCTTTCAGCACTCACCTCTTAACATATCGGAAAAGATTATTCAGATTTTTTCCTGCCTTTTCTGTTAATCACACATTTTTCCACATCTTTTCCACATCTTTGTCTTACTGACTTAAGGCCCATCACTGATAGTTCCTTGAAAAGCAAAAGAGAGAGAAGGCACAAGAATCCACAGACAGCTGTATGTCTGTCCTGAAATGACTTTTAGTCCTCATCTAGTCATACCCAGGGAGAGAAGCATTGGCACCCCGAAACCTTCCCTGTCCAGCTGCAGGGGTGCCTACCACCAGTGCTTGGTGCCAGCAAGATGTACACCCCTAAGGCTGATTTCCACAGGAATCCAGGTGTTGAGAGCTGTGGATAAGTATGTTTTCTGAAGCCAGAAGGTAGGCTGCACACCTAATTTCCATTCACTTCTATGGAGCTGCCTTAGCACTTCACAGTACCCTGGTAAGCAGCCTTCTGAAGCTGGAAGCCTGAAACTTTTCAGTTTTAAAAAGAAAGGAAAAAACAAGTTTTGCTATGTTTAATTTGACCTCTGGTATACCTTGGCCACAGTATTTCATACAGCTTCTACCAGCCCCATCATCCAGGTTTACCCGCAGCCTGCATTGGTAGAGATAAAACGTGTGTGGAGTAAATGCAGAGAGAACTCCAGCTCAAGCCTTGTTAGCAAGTCATTTCTCTCTGTGTTTAATCAAGATAGCAAGCAACAGTGATGAAAACATTTTCACTTGTGTGCATGGATTTTATCAGTGTTTCTTTGAACATCTTATGGGCCTAAAGGAAACAAAACGTAAGCTACGTAAATGACAAACAATTCAATACATTTCCCTGCTACACAGCTTGGCTTAAATAAGTGTATTCCATCTCTTTTGTCACCATTTATGCTTCAGTACATTACCTTTGTACATGGAACCAACTCTGCTTCTCTATCATTTGCGTGTGACTATGCTATCAGCAGAAATTACAAACACATATGGTGTGTACATGTAGTCTGTATCTATATGTAGATCTATGAAAGCCTAATGTGGATGTCGCCACCATCTCAATTCTGAAGCTGTTTGCAATATGAGTATCTGCCTGGATTTGAGTTTTACAAATAAATAAATAAATAAATAAAAAGCCATTATGGACAAAGCTCCATTTCTTTTGTACTTACGTTAGGACATCAGTTTCCAGCATGGTGAAGGTCATGTTTGTGGGAAGGGGAAGGTAAAGGGGAGTGGGAAAGGGGAAGGGGAAGGGGAAGGGGAAGGGGACGGGAAAGGGGAAAGAGCAGGAGAAGAGAAAAGAGAAGGAGAAGAAGGAAAAGGAGAAGGAGAAAGAAGGAGGAGTCCCACCTGGGTTTTTGCTGTTTAGCAGGCAGGGCACACAGCATGGCTCTCTTCAGGGAGACCCGAAGCCTTGGTTCACTGCCCTGGCCAGGGCCATGCTCCAAGAGTTGCAGCACAGCTGGGGCTGTGTTTGGTTGCCTGAAGGTAGCCCAAGGGGCTAGGGGCTGGCCACATTGGCCCCTGCTTCCAAGAAACATCGACCTATTTGCCAGCTCCTTAGTGAGCTGCTGTTTTCCTGCTTTGCTTCTTGTGTCTGGAGTTTGGGGCCTCCTTATAGCCTCGTGGCTTGCAAATGCCTGTCCCTTCTGTCACCTATGCTTGTTCTGCTCATCATCTAATAGCTATCTAGACTTCTGTCATGCAGTTTCCTCAGCTCTATTTTCTCAAACATGTATCATGTTTATAAATCCAGCTTTAGCCTCTAAATATGGAAGAAAGTTGGCATTTGGGAAACAAAACCTGTAGTTTTATATTTCCACGGTACTTATTTTCCATAGATTTAGTTGCAAATTGACAAATTGACAGATGAGTCACCTGCTGGGTTGCTGCACAGCTCAGCTACAGCTGGTGTGGAAGTCCTGCTGAAACAGCTCAGCCTGCATGGGGAGAATGTCCCTAACCTGCTCCTGTGCCCTTCGCTAGACAGAGGTCCTTGCATGTTCGCAAGGCTCGCAGCTGTGCCACCTCTTCCAGCTTTCCCAGTGGTCCACCAGGGTCTGCCCCCCCTCTCCAGGCCCGGGCACACTGGCTGGTGAGCCCCAGCACCTCTGTTCACCAGCTCAGGCTGCCAGTGACCTGTCCCAGCCCTGCGTGCCCACAGCTCGTGTCCCATCGCTGTGTGCTCCCCCAGATTGCCAGCACAGCTGTGCAGCTTGAAGCATTTGGTCTTCTCTGGGAAGGCTCAGCTGGGACTGCCTGCATCTGGCCAACAGCAGTTCCCAAGAATGCAGAAACATAAATGCTTCCCACTTGGGTTCTTGAATATTGAACCCCTTCACCACAAAAACAAACAAACAAACAAAAAAACTAGAAGGGATGGTTAATGCAGCCCTCTGACACACACTAAATTTGCAATAAGCCATCACCTTAGTTAAGCCTCAACAGTCGAGGTCTAGGACTTCCTAAAATGAGGTACAAACGATGCCAAATATCTTAAACTGTGCCTCATTAAATAAATGTTTGTCATTTCACGTTGTTCATCCTCTTCAGCCTCTGCAAAGTTGTGGAGCTCCTTTCTGAAAAAATGTCTGCAGTTCTTCAGGGAACTGTTGCTGCAGAGAGTCAGTGCTCAAGTCAGTGCTCGGGCTGTTTGCAGAACGCCTGCCCTCCATACGGGTTTGGAGCGCTGAAGACTAGTCCATTCAGCATCTTCAACATTTACAAAGTATTCCTTAGTGATCGTGCCCTATTATTACATTGCTGATATGCTTAAACCATTGTTTGCTCTGTACATATGTCATCGCTATCTGTAACGTCAGAATCACTACAAATAAAACGATGAAAGGTACACCATTTTTCTTTTATCCCTTTTTATTTCCATAAAAACTGTCTTGCTGATAGAACAATCATATTTGTCTAAAATGTGAAGGAAGCAAAATAAACAGTGCTATTCTGATATCAGCATTTAAAGTCCATTACTGTTTTCTGCCATGAAGTACAACAGTTGTTCACTTTGCCACAGGGAAAGATACATGGCAAGTAGAAAGGTATCTGAAAATACAGAAAGCTTTTTATTGAAGCTCAACCATGAGTTTCATAGAATCATGGAATCATAGAATGGTTTGGGTTGGAATAATCACCTAACTCCAACCTCTCTCCCCCCTCACCCCCCACCATAGGCAGGGATGCCACCCACTAGATCAGGTTGGCCAAGACCCCATCCAGCCTCACCTCTAGGGATGTGGCATTCACAATTTATGCTATTATGTTATTACGTTATGGGAATTTATGTTATTGGATTTCTTCTTTAAGAAATAAAGGTTGTCTCATATGAACAAGTCACTTAAACTGATTGCATACGTTTATTGTACCTGGATCCTTTCCTGTTGTGGGGGTTCCAGTACATTATTTCTGTATATTATTAAATTATTTTTTTTTCCTGAGGAGGTTAATAGAAAAAAATAAGAATTAGGATAAATCCATGTTACTTTTTTATCCTTATGAGGAAGCAAAGAAAGACATGCTTGTAATGCACAAACATGTCAAAGCAGTGGGCCAGCCCTGTCACTGGGCTGAGTGGTGGCAGTGAGGCCAGGGAAGAGAGCTCGTCCCTGGACCCATCCCCACAGCCCTGGCCAGCGGTCCTCAGCCTGCGCCTGGTCCAAGTTGCAACCCAAGGACAAGCCCTGCCATGGCGATTGGACTCAGAGCACATCCTTCCCTGAGTGCCGAGACCTCCCCCCGGCTGCTGCTCTGCTGCTGGCGAGGCACAGGCAGGGCACGCGGCTGTGCCTCACACCCCTGCCACCCTGGCAGCTCGGCTCCCAGACACACTTTGCAGGGGCCAGGCCAGGCCGGCAGCGTGTGGGCTGCTGGTGGCAACACACCACCCCGCGCTCCACTGCCTGGCTTCTTGCCATCGTGGTGGAGGTGCTCCCAGCCACCACGGGGCCTAAGATGCTCGTCTTGCCCGCTTTCTGCATGTGCAGATGGGAATTATTCAGTATCCTTGCTGTGCTTTGGCTTAGTTTTAGTTGGAAGCTTGGGTTTTATGTCCTAAAGATTGTTTTTTTCTGCTTGAGATCTAGTACTTGGTTCTTTTTGCAGGTGTGTTTTCCATGTGCTGCGCTGCTCATTCATGTTTGCAGCTCTGTTCTAGCTGCAACCCTGTTCTAGCTGGAAGACAAGACAAGGTACGCAGTGCACCAGTTCATGCCCCATCAGTCTGAAGATACTGCCATTTTCTCCTACTCCTCTAAAGCCACTAAGGACCTGGGGAGGGGGTTGTCAAGCTGCAAGAGTTTTTTATTGAAGAGATTCAGTTAGTTCATTTAATTAACCTGTCTGCCTAATTGCTTTGAGGCCACAGGCAAGCAGCATTACTCAGGCATGTGTTCCCTTGGGTCTAAGTCGTCCTGGACGCAGTGACACAGCGCACCCAACGAGGTGCTGTGTGCAGGACCAGCTGCTCACGTAGCAGGCCACAGCCTGCCTCCTTCGAGCAGCACCCAGTGGTGCTGTGATAACCAACTGCTGGCTGTCACAGAGTCCTAGTCTGGTCAGGGCCAGTGCCGCTGCTGCTCCCTGCCATCTGCATGCTCTGTGCCCACCAGTCCTGGGTCCCTACTCAGTGGTCCAGGTACAACTGTTCAAGCATTATCTTCTCTTCAGCCCACTGCAAGGCATAGAAGAACAGGTCAGCTCACCTCTGCTGGTTGTCATGGATTGGATTTGCTAAAGTGGCAGCCAGACATTCTGACAGAGGGTGAAGAAGGTCCTGTGAATGCCCTGATGGATGTTTTGATCCCCAAAGAAAGGCAGCTTTTCACCAGGCAGCTATATCTTACAGACAAATGAAGTAGAGTTTCCGGCGTGTCCAGCGCATACTACAAACAATACAATATGTTCTGGGGTGTGTGTAAGCCTAGACTCCACAGAGCCTAGGCTCCTTTGGAAAAGCACAAGTCTGTCTCTGATACTCTCTGTAGATATGTTGAGGGCTCAATATTTAAGTTCCAACTTCATGGGTTTCAGTTGAGTGTTTGCATGAATCAAGATACATGTGCAAACTGGGGGACTGAAGATTTTATTAAGGTCTTTTTCTCCTGAAAAGAGCAAGGATAAGCTCCCACTGAACTCAATGATGAGAGCAGGCTGTCATGATGGCTGTCAGTATAAAAGCAAAGGTAGAACCTTACAAGATTAACAGGCCTCTACGGTAGCTCTAGTTTAGGAAAATTATTTTCCTTTTCCAGAAAGACCAAAAACCCTCTTAGTGGCTTGCTTCAGATAAGCCAGTTGAATGTTTGGGGTAGTTAACATGATTTTAAAATGTACCTTATGACAAACCCTGAAGATAAGTTTCTTTTTTTTTTTTTTTTTTTCTCAGCAAAAAATGTCCCTCAAGTCAAAAAGTCAATCCCAATTAAAAAAGAAAAATCAAATCCAAGTTCAATCAACTCTGTAGATCAGTACTTTTCACTGTAATTTTAATGACCTAAAGAGCAAACAAATTAAGACCATTATGCAAGATACAAAAATGGAAGTGCATAAGGAGCAAACTCAAATTAAAGTAACCTAACACAGAATGAAATGAGATTTAATGTGAAGGCACATCCTTTAGCACATGAAACATACGAAGACATAGTATATATACAAAATCTGAGACAGGTTTATTTGTTTGGACAGTGTTTGTAGCAAGTGAGACTTAGGAGTGCTTGATAACAATCAACTGAGTAAGAATTCATGCTTTGGCACTGCTAGCCAAAGCCTGCTAACAGCATAGGCGTTGCACACAGCCGTATGTGACTTAGCTGTATGTGACTTTTTGATCAGAGGTTTCAACCTTGGTTTATGCTATTCATCAGCAATAAACCCAGCAGAAAGCAACAGAGGCAAAACCACCAGAAATGGCTGAAAAGTAACAAAAGCATTGTGTGGAAGGTAGCAGCAGAAAGCAAGCGGTTTCCCAGGTTAGCCCGTGTGCAGTGCCAGCAGCCAACCACTGCCCTGTCGATATCAGGCCCTGGCCCTACGGGGCCACGCCGTGCGGGGCTGTGCTGCACCGTGCTGTGCTCATGGGCCTGGGGGCCATGGGCCGGGAAGGCCAGGGTGGCGGGGAGCACGCTGGGGCCCCAGCACAATGGCTCCAGAGTAGTAGGCAGGGAGGTGAGGACAGCTGGAATGCTTTCAGTACGGCCACTGCAGCTTAGGGAAGGCAAACGTTTTGCTTTGCTTTCTTCTGAAAATAGACAGTTTTCTGAATTTTCCATTTCCTGTCTCGAATTGTGATGAGCAATTAGAATTTCCCACGGGTGGCAATGATGCAGCTGATCATCTGTTGCTCAGCACAGAGCACGTGTTTTCCATAGCTGAGCTGCAGGCTGCACAGTGAAACTCCTGATTGAGGCATGGAAATACTATTGTAAATTAAACAAGAATGCATAATTAATAACCAAAATAAAAGAATGAAACGCATGAAGCAGTAAACGGAGATGCAATAAACTAAGACTAAACAAGGGAACAATTTAGCTCATACAGTAGGCCACACAATTGACTTCACAAGTGATTGTACTGGATAATTTGCCCACTAATTATGTTAGTTTATACCCAAGGTAGTTTCTGTTAAGAAAGAACTATGGGTATAGTTCGGTTCTAGTTTTGTAGGCTCAGCTGAAGGACCTGGCAAGTCCCTTGCAGTTAGCTCCGTTAACTGTATCCTGACACATTTCTCTAGACACTAAACCAGCACACAAGCTGTGCCAATTCCAGAAGACTACATCCCTGTGTCTGTTCTCTTCTGGGACAAACAGCACATCAGGACTCCGCATGCCTCTACTACTCATCCACCTTCCCTCCACCAAATCTACGTACCTGGAGCTGACCACGCCCTTAACTGTTCCAGTTCTTCATGGCCTCCACAGTCCTCTGTTGATTCCTTCAGCGACTCACCCACCCTTTCCTCTTCAGCATCTCTTCAGGATGGAAATCCTTTCACCCATTAACTATCAGGAAGTCGGCCAGTTCCGGGTGCCTCAGAGTGCTGGAAAGTTCACAGGGTCTCTCTGCAAGGCAAGAATAAAGTCCTGCAAACCTGAGAGTCATATTCATAAACACAAGTGACAGTAATTTCATGCAATGCTGAAAATTCAAAGGAACTCTTTGCCCAAGATCTTTTTTCTCAATGAACTTAAAATGATGCTGTCCTTTGTGTTTTGTCATTTTACAATGGTTTCTCCGCCTCAAAAAAATGCTGGAGCAACTTTCTCCCGTAAGCTCTTCCAAAAGCTTGTCACCCCGTTCAGTCATTTCAGGCTGGAGCAGCAAATCAGTTCTGGGGACATTGTCGTGCTTTCTGTATGCAGGCAGATTCGTTTGGACCGTAGAGTCCTTCCAGAGAGTAGTGTAACAGAGAGGGAAGGCAGACACCCTGGCTCCCGGGTGCTGCAGCCTGGCCTGGCAGCTTGAGAGCCCCCCCGCTCTCAGACCCGGCCGCCCGCACCCGCGCTCCCTCGCCCGGCTCCTGCGCTCCCGCCGCGGCCCCGCCGCGCTCCCGGCACAGGGCACCCGGCCCGCCCGGCCCGCCCGGCCCGCAGGGCAGCACACCCGCCAGGGGGCCGAGGGGGGCCGAGGGGATCTCAAACTTCTCAGAAGTTGCTGGCTTGCAAATGCTGGTTTACAATCGCAAATTACGAGCGAAATTGCCGGCGCTCCCCGCAAGTACGGGATCCCCCGGCGTCCCCGAGAGCGGCCGGGACGGGGCGAGCGGCCCCGGGGCAGCCGGTGCAGGGGCGGCGGCTGGGGAGGGCGGCCCGACGGGGCGGCCGCAGAGCCCCGGGAGCGGCGCCCCCTCGCCTCCCCCCGCCGGAGCGGGGGGGTCCGGGCTGCGTGCGGCCGCCCCCGCCCCCGCCGGAGGCAGGCCGAAGGCACGGGGGCCGGGGGCGGCCGCAGCCCCGGCCCCGTGAGGAGGCGTCAGGCGCGGGAGCTCCGCTCGCGCCCGGTCCCGGCTCCGTATAAAGGGGGGCGGCGGCGGCAGCGCTTGGCCCAGCCGGAGTCGGAGCCGAAGCCGGAGCTGGAGCCCGGGCGGGGGCCGGCTCGCAGCGGAGGGCGGCTCGACGGCGGCACGGGCACGGGCACCGGCACCGGCACCGGCACCGACACGGGCAGGGGCACCGGCAGCGATAGGATGGGCGGCGGCGGCCCGCGGCGGCCCGGCGCGCTGCCGCTGCTGGCGCTGGCGCTGCTGGCAGCGCAGGGCGGCGCGGCGCCCCTGCAGCCCGGCGGCTCCCCCGCGCTCACCAAGATCTACCCCCGCGGCAGCCACTGGGCTGTGGGTAAGTCTCCGTCCCGTCCCGTCCCGTCCCGCCCCGTCCCGTCCCGTCCCGTCCCGTCCCGTCCCGTCCCGTCACATCCCGTCGGGCTCCGTCCCACCTGCTGCTCCGCGGTCTCCGCGTCCCCGCCAGGGGCCGTCCCGTCGGCACCGCGCCCGGGAGCGCCGGGCTCTGGCCGGCACGGGGTGCCGGTGCCGGCACTTGGCGAGCGCACGGGCGATACAGGAGGGGCGACGCCGGCCGCGCCCGCCCCGGTGCTGCCGGCCCCGCCGTGCCGCGCTCCGCGGTACGGGGCTGCGCTGCACGAGGGCGCGGGTACGCGGTGACCGTGTCGCCTCCCGCTGCCTCCGTGCTCAGACCGGCAACCAGAGGCCAGCCCGAGGGCGGCTGGGCAGGAGCCGGAGCTCCCCAGCACCGAGGCGCAGCCGCTGCCCTGGGGTGCGCAGCACGGAGCCGGCCCCTCCCGGTGGTCTCCTTCGCAGCCCAGCGCCGATTACGGTTGCGTTTTAATGGCAGCAAAGCATGGGATGGCAAAAACGCATCCAGTTCAGCTGCTGGAAAGGCACTGGAGCGTAGACTTTAATATTAGAGTTCCCACATCCCACATCAAGGCAAGGGAAGTCTAAAACTTTCAGCTTCTCAGTCCAGTCCTTATTCCAGCAAATCTAACCAGGTGCCTCTCCCTAGCTCCAGGCAAAATGCGTGGTCATCTCTGCCCAGTTTGGAGAAACATTCCTTCTGCCAATGTAGGAAACCAGTTGTGCACAACACCGACAACATCTCCAGTCCCAGCTGTGCTTCAGTTTCAACATCTTCCCTGCTCTTTCCCCTTCCCTCTCCTTCCCTCACACTATCGGTCAATTTGAACTTCCAGCTGATGTTTGAGCTATCAAATCCATGCCTGTCTGGGTGAATTTCATGCTACAGTCATTGTTCTTACAGGACATTTAATGGGGAAAAAGAGCACTGGAGATTTTCCTTATGGTTATGAAGAAGAAAACAAGATCCCATTTTCAGCACTACCTGAAAATATTAAGCAGCTGGATGACTCTCTGCAGTGGGAAGAAATGTCCAAATATTTGTTACGGCTGCTGGAAGGGAATGAAAATAAAAGTGCTCACTTCTCAAAAGGAGGGCTTCCCTGGTATACGAGGAACACCTGGGAGACAGATGACAATAGCAGCTGGAAAGATGTAAGTAAGACAAAATCTGTAAAAACATTCCTTAAAGTCAACTTTTGTGTTACAGTGACATACTGGCTTCATCTAACTTTTGTGTTGTCCAGAAAAATAATAGAAATGTGCCTAATGCACTAGTCATTCAGTCAAGTAGGATTTTACTCTTGATTAGAAATTGTCAGTCACAGATTATATTGTTTATGAACTGATTTGCTACTGGGCATAAATTCGACAGGTGTTCAACAGATTACAGTGTCCGGATTCCCTTCAAGTTGCGCAGTTGTTATATTCTTTTATTTCCTAGCACTTCGTGCTGAGATGTCCACATCAACAGCAAGTTCTGTATCAACTCAGCAAAAACGAGCTAGTGTGAAAAACAGGCGTGCATGCAGAGAGAAGGCAAAGAGCATTGTGTGCAAAGCACATCACACCAGCTGTTCCCTTCTGTTGCCATTCCAGGTGCCATTATCATGTTTGCCTTCAAGGTGCCGCAGCCCCAGGGGATGGAGCAGCTGAACTGGAGGGTTTATTCAGCTCCTAGCTCTGCATTTGGCTCATGCCAAAGCCTTTTTCCCCTAGGCATCAGTTTTTCTGGCTGATGATGTGGACCACTACTGTGGTCATCTCTGGTCACGCAGAAAGAATCTGTGGCTACAAACAAGCTTTAATGTGCACCTAGGACCAGCCTCTTCCTCTCTTAAGTTAGTGTACTTATGAGTCCTAGTTCATGAGGTAACAAAGCTGGTACAAGTACAGATTTGGTACAAGTACAGATTTGGTACAAGTACAGATTCACCCCTATTCTTTTGGAAAATCCTGTGAAATGCACTCGTAAGGATATTCGTGAGGTTTTACAGAAAGTAATCTGAGTCTAAAAGACTTATCAAGTAAACTGCAAAATGTACTAGAAAACTCCTTTCTTTGTAATGCACGAAATTCAGAAATGGTGATAGAGTTGCAGGATTCTTCTGGTTGACATTGAAACAGTATAGAAAGAATAATACACACCATTAAAGACATTAGTGGGAAGAGTTTTTTCTTCCCATATTCTACAGTGATATTATGTAGTTAATATTCCTCAGCTAACTTCACCTTGGTCTCCCTCTTGGAATCCTAGCACAGTGGTCAGTGAATATCTTGTCACTGACTTGCATAAGGATAAAGATTTACTCATTAAAGTAAGTTGTGCTTTTACGTCTCTTACACCACTGATATGAATGGTGTCCATATGTTTCTTTCTGGCTATGGCTTTATGTCAGTGATGCTTATAACAACTGTGATTAATACTATCTAAAAAGTAAGCTATTTATTGCATCCTCAGCTCTGCTGTGTGCAGCTTTGTAATCAAATTAGACAAACAAATTCCATTACATTATGTAAAGAGGGAAATATTTTGACGTCTATAAATATTTGGTAATAAATCATACTTAAAAAGGACAGATATTGCCCTTACTGAATTCTATTCACATGTGTACTTTTACCCTAAATTAATATCCACAGTTTTGGGGTCAGGCATTGAACATATACATGGAATAATGAGGTTATTGCCTTAAGTCTCCAGAATTCTCAAATAAGGGGTAAAATAAATATGTCTTTCCTGTAATTAAGACATAGAACAACTGGCAGAACCTCATTTTGCCATAGAACCTTTTGTTTCCAATGCATAAAGTTAGTTTGTCTCTATCCTGAAGTAAAGCATAATCATGAAAGAAGTGCCAAAGCTGTCCTTTCTGTCTGTTGGACACAAACAGCTGATTATATGCAGCCTAGAGAAGATGGAAGGTATTTTTCCCGTTGGCTTTGGAAAGCAAAAACCCAACACCTAAAAATCAAACTATGTATCTATATACATCTGCTTGAGATCTGCCTTCCTGATGCAGAAGACCTGAAGATTAAATGTAAGCTTTGATTTTAGAAGACTGTGATAATTTCCTAAACCTTTAATTAATGGTAATTGTTTTTTAAAATTGTTTTTTAAAAGTGGCAATGTTTATTTAAAAAAATGGAATTCTAGTACATGCAAAATTCGGACATACATATATGCAGTGACAGAGGAGTGTAAATGACCTTTGGATTTTGATTCTGTAGATTTTTCTAGATGTGAGGGGTTCCATGTTGAGTATACTTGGTTGCTTTATTTCATGGAATTTTTCAAAAGTAACTGATGTAGTTTAAATTTTGAACTTTAAATTTGAAGTCGGAAGTTACTACCCCCAAAGTCAGAGTCTGCAGCAGTAAATACAGATATTTCCTTCAGGTAATTCAATTCAGGGTCTTGTTTATTAGCTCACATTCACTCAGTGCATTCTTCACCACTGATGCTCACACTGTGCTGTACAGTTCTCCATAACAATAAAATAATAATCATAATTTAAAAACCCTTTCTAGCAGACTGAACCAATGGAGGGTAAGTATCATAGCACACACATAGCCAAAATGGCCAAGAATTGAGCATAACAGGAAATTAGGCTTAGGGTGGTGTGCCTGAGTTACTTTTCCCTATATTCAGTTAATGCAAATGAAATTAGCAAATGAAGACTTTGCCTGCTTTTTATTCAGTGCATTAACTACAATTAAAGTAGTTAAAGGACAGAAAGGAAATCTCTTCTGCAAGCTGGTCTAAGTGTAAAAAGTAAGTTGGAAAATAATCTTTAAATTGTTTCTGTGACTTGGCTTTTTATCACTAATGAGACATTATATAAATGAGATGGCAGACTGAATTATTCAGGAGAACGACTTTCCTCGTACTTCAGCAGTTGGTTATTAAGCTAACTGAGAAAAATGAGCTCTGTTTTGGAAAGATTATTAGGAATTTGTTTTTTATTTGAATACACAGAGCAGCCAGTGTATTAGGCTTATTAACTTAGTGAGTGACTTTTGTCAGGACTCATCTATAAATACTATTTTTCTCTCTTTATTAGATGATGGAGTATTTGCTTCAAGTTGTGAATACGAAAGAGAACACTCCAAGCTGAAAGAAGGTCTCTAAACCTTGAAGAAATGGAATACTTTCCATAAGAGACTATGTTTCACAAACACTTGATTGTATCAGATAATCAACAAGGTTTTCTTTCTGTAAACAATATTTCCTTTGAGTAAAATATCTAAATACAAATATTCTTGTATGTTTCAGCAATGACTACACTCTACTTCGTTTTAAAGGTTGCATTTTCTCACTTGAATGGCTTTGATATGCATAATTGTCATGGAAGGGTCTTCCAATTAATTATACAACGTCTATCTAATCAGTTCATCTCTTAGTTTAAAATTACATGACATTTCAACATTTGCAATAAATAGTTTGAACGAAAAGGCCGAGTTTATACTTTTATTTAGTAAAATGGAAATTGGCTGTGTCATAGCTAGTAACAAAGACACAATAGAATGATTCACTTTCCACTGAAGCTCTTCTTGAATTGCTCCCTGGCCTGTCATTTTGTTCAATAAGGGGGAGCTGACACTGCCTTCTCAAGGTAGCTCTGCACCAAGTGCAGGGAACGCGATGCACTGCCACGGCAGGCAGCAGGCAGGTCTGCTGAGCGATGCTCTGCCTTGTTTGACTCAGAGGCGAAGTGGCAGCTGAGCATGCTCCCCCCCCCACGTGCACTCCTACAGATGTGACTAGCAGGTCCAGCACCTTCATGTTTCCACAGGAGTTTAAAGGAAGAACATTGCCTCCCAGGAGAACAAGTGAGTGACACCTTTTGTGGGGCTACAACACATTTTAGCTAAGCAATGCTCCTTGCTTACTTGTAGTTTTCAGTACACAACTGGACAGTCCCTTCATCAAAAACCCAGGCAAGGTGATAATGTGCTGCCACCTCTCAAGTGAGAGCACTGACAGACCAGATCGTGAGGATGGGGGGAAGCCCAGCACAAAGCAGGAGAAGCAGATCTGGACAAAGATCTATCTTTAGTGTAGTTTCTACCTTCCTTGGCCCATGCTGTGGAGCAGAAGTGTTTGTTCAAGTCATGGGCTCACAGCTGTGCCTATGTGATGCAGCTACAAGAAGGGTCTGGAAGTTTTGGTAATAGACTGTCTCATCATGACAGGAGTAACAGACCTGAGTCAAAGAAGAATGAATAAGAAAGAAAATGGTGCCTCCTAAAACAGCAGTGCCACAGTCCATGAGCTGTTTACTCACCACAAGAGCGGGGGCACCAGCCTTTGCTGTTCATTAAACACCAGAGCACAGGCTGAGCCACTGTGTACTCGGGGATAAAAGGTTAGGAGGGTTAAGGAGAAAGTAGGCAAGAGAGAACAGGACTTGCACCAGCGGGACCTTGCAAGGAGCATGCCTGCAGTGCAGGGCACTGCAAGGTGGCCAAGCTGTTAGGCAAGCACAGGTCAGAGCCAGCTGTCAGAGCGCCCCATTTTTCAGTACCACTGCTGAGGCAACTTCATCCCTTTCGGAGCATCAAGCCTTGTAGCTAGTGGTCTGAACACATCTGAATCTCTGATGCAGTTGTTTAGGGACTTCTTAGGTACACCGGTGTGCACTGACTGCTGGGGAAGGATCTGGAAAAGGCATCACTGAGACACTCAGGTGTGAGCTGGCTTCCACATTGCCCACTCTAGGTTCAGGCAGCTGTGAGCAAGCCCAGCCACAAACCATGCATCTGAGATGCATGACTGATGGCAACAATGGACTTCAGGCACTCGCAAGCTGGCTGTGCAGGTTGGAGAGATCTCCTGATGGGAGCTGAGCATTGAGGCCGAGCAGGCTACAGAAGGCAATTCGCAGTTTGGCACTCTGTCCAGGCAGTGGGATATACAATATCCTGCTCGTTCACTGGTATGCCCTCCTTTGGCATAATTGCATTTATTGTATTTCCCCCCTTAAGAGGACGGAAGATTTGGCTTTAGGACCCTCTCAGTTCAAGGCTAGTGTGAACCTCCAGTTTCTATTTGAGCGACACAGCTTTGGGGATATTGACTGTGGTAGCGCACCCCGGCGGCTCCCCCTGCCCGCCAGGCCGCACTCCTGTGCCGGGCGGTGCCGCGGCCCTGGCCCAGGCTGCCCAGAGAGGGGCCGGGGGCTGCTCGGGGAGGTCTCCAGCAGCCGCCGGGCCGTGGGGCTGGGCACCCTGCTCGGGGGGCTGCTGGGCCGGGGGACCAGGGGCACCCGGGGGAGCCTCCGGACCCAGCCGTGCCGCGTAACGGGGAGCCGACGACGCGGCGCATCAGGCGAGGCGCCTGCCCTGCCGCAGCACGGGCCCGCCTCACGCACCGCCGCGGCCGCCCGGCGGGACGGGCCCGGTGGCGCAGCTCCGCCCGGCCCCGGCAGGGGGCGCCCCCGGCCAGCGGATGCCTCGCAGCGGACGCAGCCCCGGGCCGCGGCGCCCCCGGCCGCTCCCGGCCCCTCGCCGTGCGGGAGGGCGGTCAGTAGGCGGCCGGTGGTTGCCTGCGCGCTGCGCTGCAGATACCCTGGGCTCCAGGGCAAATTCCGGTCACCTGAGCGAGCATCCCAAATTAGGACAGCCACGGCGGAGACCCGGTGGACTTACCTGCTGGCCCGGGGCTTTTGTCACTCGAGCCTGCTTACCGCTTCCCATTTCTCCTTTTTCTGGCCGATCACCGCCCTGCCCTCAGACAGCGTGAGACCCGGCCCGCAGGTAGGATTGGCACCTCAGCAAAATCGCTCTGCTCTCATGGTGTTCCAGCCCTGCCTCCCCTCCCTCACACCACACGAGGCGGAAGGACCTCGCTCAGCATGCTGCAGCTCAGCCACCCCCAGCGATATGATGCCATCCCTGGAAAGTTTTCCTTACACATCTAAATCAGTCGTCCCCCACCCTGCCCTGTCGGTGATGAAGGCAGAGTGGAGGAAGGGGTTGAGCCAAATCAGAAGGGCACTTGGGAAGGTGGCTTTGAGTTTTCATGTGGCCAAAGGCACTGAAGGTGTGCGTGTGTTGCACACCCAGGGAGGAGAAGAAGCCTAGCCCAAAAGCCGAAGCTCCATCCAAAGGCTCAGGCAGTCTTCGTACAGACTCCAGGTGGGATCCAAAGCACAGCACCTGCTGCCACCAGCAGCCTTGGCCTCTGGCTGTGGGTCTGAGGGAGCAGGGCTCTCTCTCTTGCAAAGCCTGTGTGGTATGTGCCAGGCCTGTGTGGGTGGCTCAGGCTACCCGAAAGGGGTCCCAAATGTCGCTAAAAGCATATGCATAGGTAACTCAGTCGTACCATCCCTGTCTGATGACTGGGTAAGTCATATGTCTCTGAGACACAGTTTCCCTGCATGTTAAATGGCACTCTCCTGTTCCACAGAGGCAGCATCTAATAAACTAGAAAGTATATGACAGGATCTTGCAGGGAGGGGATAGGGGATCAGCATGTTTATGATGGGTTCACCATAAACACTAGTTTATGGCATCTGCATAACCATCTGCAGATTTGCCTGCCATACAAGCCATGCTGTGTTTGAGCTATTCTGCAGCCAGCAGTGGCATTTGAGCAGGAGAGGGCTGCTGGTGGGCCAAACTTTCTGAGGAGCCATTTATTTAAAAATACTGCTTAAAACTAGCATCCCCTCCTTGGTATTCTGGGTTTGTCCAGTGTTCTGTCTTACTCCTTGCAGCTGCCCACTCTCTGAGAAGGATTCAATAGAGAGACATCTGACCTACCTGAGATGGTCAGCAACTGGAACACCATCCTCTTTGTTTACCCAAACACTCCCTTCTTTGAGAATCAGTTGCCAAAGCTTCAGTTCTTGCCATCCAAATTCCTACTGCCTACAGTTAAACTCTTTCTTGAAAGTCTTGGCTAGCTGACTTCAACTTCTTTTCTGTACAGGACCAGAGCTTATTTCATGGTTCTTAGTGGGGCAGAAATTTCATATGCCAAAGAGATGACAGCCACATGTCAGCCAATTTTCACATCATCCATTGGCAGGACATGGAGATGCTAGGAGAGAGGAGACAGAATATTCATTGTGCCAGAAAAGTTGGTAATGTTGTCAGGGTGATAATGTCCTAATCAGTATCTCCTTCCTTGCTTTTTGTTCTGCTCTCTTTTGTTTGATTTATTCCATCATTTGCTCCCATGACAGGATTTTATAAATGGGTACTCAGTGGCTGACAAACTCTAATGAAGGAAGTCAATAAAGTTTCAAGTTTATATCCTATGGCATCAGTGACACAGGACAATGCTGACTGCATGGAAGAAAGAACTTGAATGTCTGGCCCAAAAACACTGTAGGTGAAGGAAAAACCCTTGAATTAATGCCTGTTGGAGCTGGATTTCACATTATGTCCCAATAGGAGGTACCTAAACGTTCTTACTTGCAACCCCTGTCAGATGTAGCTGAGGCAGCTGGAAAGAAGAACCTTCAGGTCTCCATCTCACCTGCAGACACTAACAAGTCCTCAGCAGAGAAAGGGAACAAAATTGCCCCAGACTCCCACAGCCCAGATAAGAAATTTGAACTGTGACTGAGCTCTGTGTGCTTTCATCTTTGGGGCTGTGACCTGTCATGGCTGTAGAGCAGACACCATGGCCAGCTTGCTGCTGTAGAGGGGTGACAGCAGGGTGTACTAACGAGTGCTAACCTACATGGCCACATCTCCTGACACCATCCATCAGGGACTGAGAGAGACAGGCTTGCTTCACTGGAAAGCAGCTGAGCCGAACTGTGGGTCAGAACTCTACTCAACCTAAATAGGTCAGGATTCTTTGTGAGTTTTCTTGAATACTGAGAGGATTTTGAACAGGGTTGTGAAAGAAAGGAGATTAGAGTATACTTTCTGCTGAAAAATGGTGGCATTGAGACCAAGTTTCATGATGACATTTTATTTGTAACTACTAATTCAGAGATCTTCAAAGCTCTTGATGATAATTGTCTTCTCTCCTGCATAGCTCATGCTATTGACCTGTACAAAACTTTACAGAGCACTTCTCTATATTAAGCCTGGGATTTCTGTCTGGGTAAAAGCAGCCAAGCCTGATGGAAAGACTTCTCAGGAAAAGCTGTCCGCCTCTCCACATTTCATATCTTAATGAGAAATCACCCAGGATTAACCTCATTTGCAAGTGGAGAGATTGCTACAGGTGAAGCAGATGCAGAGATGGTGATTCAATTTTACTTTTCCAAAATTCTGAAGCCAAATGCACAGTGGGTGATCTCATGAACTGTATAATATGAATAAATGTATATCTATCCATCCTCTCCCCAGGTAAAAAACATGAAGCTCAGACAGGTCGTGTGGGATTTACCTGGAAATGTATTGGAATGCTTTCCAAACATAGCTAGGGTCCTAGCTCAGCCTGTTCATTCAATTAAAATGCAATTTGGAAGGAAAGGGGAAAGAGCTCCTCAGCTGCTGATACTGGCTGCCTGCCCCATGGCCAATTTAACTATGAGTAATTCCCTTTTGACCGGTAGCAGACATACACTGTCTTCCTTCCCAGTCCCAGCAAGGTTTGCCTCTCCCGGCTCATCACATCCCCTGAGCAAGGAGGTGCGGTACCCCCAGGAGAGCATCTGTGCACATCTGTGTGTGTGGAATGGTGGCAAGGATTTGTCCCGCATGTACCGATCCCTCCCAGGAGTCTCCTGGGGCAGCCCCTGCCAAATGCCCCGTAACCAGGACACTGAGTGAAGACCAGGCCACACTTCTGAAAACTCTAAGTGTTTACAGCTTCACCCACCAAAGCCTACACACTGCCATGAGCGGTTACCCTACCAATAACCTCAAATTACTATCCAATAACCTCAAGTACCTGTTCCCATGTCCTGGCCACCCTGTCCTACAAGTCCACTTCTCTCAAATGCCATGGTTAGCATAACAACGTTTTCTGTCTGAAATTGTCTCCATTGCAAGGGCGTAGATTTCTTAATATTTTCACTCGCTATCTTTTATTGGTGTAATTTTTCCTTAGAACTTCAGATGTTGCAAAGAAGTCAAATATAGACGCTAACAATACTAGCTTGTTAATACAATTTAAGCAAAAGAATAAATAGATCACTCAGAAACAGCCAGGCTAAGAGTCTTAGCAAAGTTAGAGTAAAGAAGTGGTTAAGGATCTAGATGATTTAATCCACTTTTAAGAAAAGGTTTTACAGTGAGCAATTAGATGCTGGTTAAGGAATTAATCACTAATGGGTCATTAACTCTGACTGCCATTGTACAGTTAACAAGCCGAGGCAGGATTATTAGACTCAGCACCCAATTAAGGAGGAGAAGATATTTACAACAAACTGAACAAATGAGCTTTTAAAATGGAATGGGACAATTTGAGAGAAAGTGTAGGAATACAGGAAACCAGACAAGGTAGGAGAGAGATGCAAGTTCTGTCCCTTTATTGGTTTTAAAAATATTTATCTCTCTGTGACCACTCATGTTTAGCAGATTAGAATGTTTCTTTTTAGCAATAAACTTGTCACTTTCCTTGAAGCACACAACTTATCTTTGTGTGTAGATAATCCATTGCAGGGTTCACATTTACAAAATATAAAAAAGACCTGCTTAATATCCGAGTAAGAGAACAATTGACACAGCTTGACGTAATTACCATTTTTTGCTTGCAGATTTTGGATCAAAAGCTTGATAAAAGTGAATAGGTGTCTTCACTTTACTGTCCTGTTGCTATCTGTTATTAGTGCTTGACTCTAAGTTACTGAGCGTCAGTGCTGATTCCGGTGCTGAACAGAAAGTCAGGGGGTCTTTCAAGTGGCTTTGCAGGACATCGGAGAATGGGAGGCAACAGGGAGGGAGGGTAATAGCAGCAAAATGTGGGAGAACACCACTGAGATCTCAGGGTTTTGCTTGCTAATCGTGAGCAACAAGCACGGGAAACAGGTTTTGGGTGACAATTAAATGCATTCATGTGCAGGAGGGTTTTAAGCCGAGTAACACCAAGCAGGACTGTTCCTGTCCCTGGGGTACCAGGGTGTGTGCAGCCTGTGTAGACATCTGTTAATGTGTGTCTGCTTTTGACGCAGCCCAGGTGTGCAGGCACATCACAAACATGAGGAGACATCTTTCCCTCACAGCCACCGGAGGAGATGTGCCTTACTGCAAGCCCCGTGTTCTGGGCATCCTCAGTGATACAAAGCTCACCTGTAAAAGGGGCAGCGGGGCACACCTACATGCCCCCCAGGCCAGCACAGCTGGGGAAGGGAAGCCCGGACACAGCATGGGGCCTGATACAAAGAGGCAGGCTGGATGCGCACAGAGGCCAAAGAGGGAGGGAAAGGCGTTTTCAAAATAAAGGGATTCTCATTATTATCTGCAAAAGGAGCTCTCCAGACAACGGATGGGGCTGCTGTGGAGGAGGCTGTGAAGGGATGTTTAGAAACTGCTGTCTGAGGTTAAAAAGCTCCCTGAAGTGAAGCTGAACAAAGCTGACATACTTGTTTCTGACAGGACTCTTAAAGATACGCACAGATTGTGAAAATATAATTAGAAGCCAGCCTTTGTCTGGCCACAACGAGTGGGAAATGGTGAAAGGAGAGGTCTCCCAGTCTGCATTGAATCATCCCCAGGACACAATGAGGACGCTTGTGCATCCTTCTCCCTTCCCTAATGAGAAACGTTAATTGCCACAACCTCCAGAGTGTGCAGAGCGCCCCGTGCCCAGTGGAGGAGAAGGGGTGTTTCATTACAGCTTCTCAGCCCCATTACGGGCAGTAACGGAGATAATGGAAAATAAAGATGCCGCAAATTTAGTTTAGGCAGCTCGGGAAGGGTGCTGTGCAGTGTGGGGTGAGCGCAGCCGAGTGCCTTGCCAGCACCCCAGGCTTGCCAGGCCAGCTGCCCCAGTCAGCCCCCACGCAGCGGCTGGGCTGAGGAGCCAGGGACCTGCAGGACCTACCAGACCCTTCTCTGAGGTGGTGGCGTGGGCCGGCAGCCCAGGATGGGGGCAGCAAATCCCATCCGGCCCCCGGGCTGTCCTGCTGGGTGTGGGAACGCTGCAGCTGGGCCCTGGTGGGGCCCCGGCCACTCTTTGCAGAGCATGGAGCCACTGGCTGGGTGTGCGCCCGCCGTGGGACCACACCTCTGGCCCCATCAAGAGCTCCCGGCAGTGACTGAGGGGAGCCACCACAGCCAGGGGCAGGGGGCAGTATGAGACCCCCAGCAAGGCTAGGCTGCAAGGAGGGAAAGGGCCACGGCCAGGCCTGCGGCTCCCCACCGCACGCCAGAGGCAGCGAAGGGCCTGGCCTGGGCAGCCCCCTTGTGCAGACACACAACGCACAGCCTTCACACCAGTTGTGGCATTTAATGGTGCAAACAGAAAACCCTCCCCAGATCACACAGGCCTTGGTTCCCAGCCACCCTACGCCGCTCTTCGCCCTACTTCAGCTTTTATTGCAACTAAAGCATCCAGCCAAGAAGGGAGAACGAAAGATTTTTTTCCTAAGCTATGATCTGACCCCTAACTCCGCAGGGCATGTGGAAAAGGAGATTAAAAAGACCACAAAATACAAAGCAAGCCAGGGCATGGGGAAAAAGGTGGTGTGAGGGACAGCCCTCCGTTGTCAGGTCCTTGTCCAGAGGAGCCAGAGTGGGTCAAGGGCATCCCTTGGGCATCCCGGTACCAGCCTTCCCAGTGCTTTTGTCCCAGGTGCTGGAAGAAGGAGCTCAGATCGTCTGCCAGGGTTTGCCAATGGACTGGATGTGCTCCTTGGCCTTCATCCTCAAGGCAGCAATGCTGGTGTTGCGTGGGTCCGCCTCGTCCAAGGGGAACTTGTCCACAAAGGTGGCCCCGCACTGGTAAGGCGGCGGTGGCCCCATTGCCCCCAGGGGCTGCAGCGCATGGGTCACGGCCGGAGAGTTCAGGAAGGGCGGTGGCGTGTAGCTGCTAGGCAGGCTCTGCGGAGAGGCCACAAAGCCAGGCAGGCTCTGCAGGGCCGTGCCGCTGGGCACAGGCGGGCTGAGCCACGTTTCCAGGGGCAGGCTACTGCTGAGGGGGCCCATGGGGGTCGCCTGTGGTGAGCGGTTGAAGGAGAGTATAGGTGAGTCCTGAAGCTTCATAGAGGTCACCTCCAGCTTCTCCTGCCGCCGCCACTTGGCCCGTCTGTTCTGAAACCACACCTGCAAGCACAGCCGTGTTAGCCAGGCACCGCTGCCCCCGGACAGCGCTGCCACTGCCATGGAAGGCAAAGGCTTCCCCAGGCACAGAGGGAAACATGAGATGGAGCAGAGGGAATAGAGTAGGGCAGGGCAGAGCAGGAGAAGGCACTGAGGCAGGAGCGGACTTGGAGGTGCTTCCCCGTGGGCTTGGGGAAGAAGCGTGGTGAGGGCCCTCTGGAGACACCCTGCCGCTGGCCGGGCACGGGCTGTGCGGAGCCACCTTGGGGCCGCGCCGCTCCCGGGTCCACCGCCTGGTTCTGCCGCCCCGGTGCCCCGGAGCGGGACACGCCGCTTAACCGGCGGCGGCCAAACGCGAAACGGCCCCGGGCTCCGCCGGTCTGTGCCTGCCGCGTCGGGGCCGTGCGAGCGGGGCCGGCCGGAGACGAGCCCGGAGCTGCGGCGGAGCCCCGCGCCCCGCGGTGCCGCTCGGCCGGGCGCCGGCCGGGGCTCCGGCAGCGGCACCGGAGCAGCGAGGCCGTCGGCGCGGCGGGGCTGAGCGCCTCCCGCTGCCGCGAGTGCGGGGCCGGGCCGAGCCGGGCCGGGGGCTGCCGGCGCCGGCAACGCGCGGCCGCGCCGAGCCCGGCCGGGCCGTGCTGCACCAGCACTCCCGGGGCCGGGGCCGTCCGTGCGGGCGCGGGCGTTACCTGCACGCGGACCTCGGGCAGGTTGACCTTCATGGCCAGCTCCTCGCGGCTGTACACGTCGGGGTAGTGGGACTTCTCGAAGGCGCGCTCCAGCTCGTGGAGCTGGTAGGTGGTGAAGGTGGTGCGGTTCCGCCGGTGCTTCTTCTTGGGCTGCTCCTCGTCCGACGGCTTCCCCTCGCCGCCGCCGGCGGGCAGCTCGGGGCTGGCGCTGCCGGGGCAGTACGGCTCTGCGGGGGGAGAGAGGCGAGTCAGCGGCAGCGCGGCCGCCCGGCCGGGCCAGCCCCGGGGCGCGGGGACAGCCGCCCGCCCGCCCGCCCGGGCCCCGGCGCCCCTCGCCCGCCGCGCTCACCTTGGAAGCGCTCGGCGCGGCCCTGGCGCTCGGCCGGCGGCGGCTCCCCGGGCATCTTGGGGAGGCCGTGCCGGGGACCCCGCTTGTCCGCCTCCTTGGCGCTGCCGGCGCCGCCGTCGGGCGGGAAGGGGCCGAGGAGGCCGTCCTCCTTGGGGAAGCCCAGGATGGCCTCGATGCTGTGCAGCCTCGACGGGTTCCCCCCGGGGCTGCGCGCCGCCGGAGCCGACAGCGAGAAGGCGCCCTCGGCCATGGCGAGCGGGGCGCCGGGCGGGTGCATGGGGCGGCCGGCCCGGGGTCCCGGCGCGGCGGCGCTCCCGCCCGGCCCCGGGGCGGCGCGGGCAGCTCTGGCACGGCGCCGCCCGGCGGGGCTGGCCTCCTTGGGGCGGGGGAGGAGTGCCGGGGGGCGGCGGGCCGGAGGGAAGGCGAGGCCCCGCGCCGCTCCGGCCTGGCGGGGAGGCAGGGCATCCCCAGGGCCCCGCCGCCGCCGCCCGCTGACCCCCCGCCCCTCCGGCCCCCCCGGCGCCGCCGCTGCCCCCGCCTCTCCCCGCCCCGCCGGCCCCGGACGGCACCGGGCGACGCCACCCGAGGCGGGGCTGGGCGGCCCCCCGCTGCCGCCGGGGCCGGCCCTGGCCGGGCGCCCCGCCGAGCCCCGCCGCCGCAGCCCCGCGGCCGGCCGAGCGCCGTCGGAAGCCGTCGTGGGACAGGCGGGGGGAGCGACCCGGCACGGCGGGGCTCGGGGCGCGGGGGCCGCTTGCCGGTAGCGCGGAGGACGGGCCCGGGGCAGAGGCTCCCGGAGCACCCCCGCAGCTCCAGCCCGCGCCTGTCCCGCGCCTTTGGAGGGCGCCTCGGCCGCCGAGGCGGTTTTCGTCTCAGATGAGAGGCGCGAGGGGGCCGTGGCACTGTCCCGCGGCTAAACGCAGAGGGTGAAAAGCCCCGGGGGTAAAAGCTGCTGCTGTGGTCCCCCGACGGGGTACTTGCCCTGGGTTCGGCAGCCTTCCAAGTCACGTTTACTGCCCAGGTGAAAACGCACGTGGGCTTTTTGGGAGGATGAGCTCCGGAGGTATCGGGGCGGGGGCGGTGGTGTCTGGGCTCAAGTTGTTGGTATCACTCCCGAGAGGACGGAGGACGACAGGCCATGTGAGCAGAGCCAATTCGGCAGCCCAGTCCCCTGCTGAGGGAGTGGGGCTGGAGGCTAGAAGGCAGGACAGGGTGCACGGGACATCTACAGTTTGCTTTTGAAGGTGAGCTGGAGAGCTGATCCCACACCATGCTTTGCACCGGGCTTGGTGGAGGACATGGGCTCAGCGCAGTCCTAACTGGGGAACACCATCGTGTCTCCCGCCTCCAACTTACTTCTTTCTGCATTATTATTTTCCCTGCCTTTCTCTTTCCTTCTCTTTATCACTTTTTCCTGCTAGCACCTGCCCATTTCTTTGAGGTACCAACCATCTTTTGTCCCAGCTAAAGTGACAAACACAATAGCGTCAAGAGTGGTTTTCAGCCTGCATTTAGCTTCGAAGATGCTTCCATTTCGAGCCTGAGGAGGGTGTATGTGAATGAAAAGCATTGGTACTGCTTCTTCCAGATACACTTGCTACTGAAAGGTATGACTTCTTCCCTCAGGATATCTTCACTCCATCTTTGTGTCTTCCTCCCGATTGGCAGCGTTTGCTTCAGCCCTTGCCCACACCTTTTTAAGGTTTATGGTCTGATGTCCCAAAGTTAATTTCTTGTAGCTCAGCAGCTTTTCCTAATAGTTCCAGGTGAGGTCTGCCCTCACTGGCTGCTTCCAGGGGGAGTGAGAGGGGGGGTGGGAGGAAGCTCAGCCATCCATTGGCAAAGAGGGAAGAGGCCAACAGAAGAGACAAAAAAAGGTTAGTGTGGCTTTTGTGCACGATATAAAAAGCAAGTCAATACCATTGTAGGGGCATTGGAGGGTACTCAAAGCAATCAGCCAGGGGCCATTGTGTTCCTTTAATCTACATGTGTATTTCCCAAGAACTCCATTAGCGAAGATGAATGAACTGTGCAATGTCCCTAATTTCTTCTAATTTGGAGCTGGGTTTTTATGGCACTCACAACCAGCACTAAACATGCCTGTTCCTCCAGAAACCCCAGGCACACTTGGGAATCCTTTTTGCTTGTTGTAGCACACGAACACACACACACACACACACAAAAAAAAAAAAAAAAAAAGCAAGGAAAGCAAGGTGAGATGAAGCAGCATAAGCTTTTCGGTCAGACCCTGGCCTGGCAGTTAAGAGCCACTAAGGGTATTGGATCATGGCACAAATGCAACTTTTCAGGTTCCTGTCAGAATTGGCAAATACAGGAACAAGACTCAGAATTTTTGCTATTACTTCCAATGTGACATACAGCAGAAGACTTCCACCCCAAAGCAGGGTGCACATTGCACACCGTACATGAGAGACCTTCCTCCCCAGTACAGCAATCTCCTCCCTCCTCAGCAGTAGATCATGACAGGTGTACAGAAAGTCTAGAGCCGTTTTTGTCATTGTTTTTGCAGAGGAGTGGAGTTACTGAAGGAAGCAGCAACTCCCTGGGTCAAAACATGTAAAAATATGGAAAAAACTGTATCAGAGCAGAGACCAGCTCTGTCTCTTCCAGCTCTGGAGCTGCCTTTTCTCTCTTGCCCTGCTTTATACATGCTGACTTCAGTGCCCTGACACACACACACATGAAGCATCAGATGGCGCTGAGGAGGAAGGTTCTGACTGCAGCACAGAAACTCTGAGGGTTCCTCAGAAACTGATGGTTCCTCTAATAGTCGGAGACTAACAGAGAGTTTAGGGTGGTGAATGAAAGGGGAGCATCTGAACATTTCCTTTAGGGTCTAATGCACTGGCTGCTAGCTGAATCTCTGTTGTCACAGTCTCCTGGGATATGTCTCATAGGTATGAAGCCTAAAAAAATTGATGGTACATCACAGCTTCACAAAGACCATTGCTCTTTGGAAGTGTACAGGGCAATCAGATCTGAGAATATTCATTAGGTAATCAAGTAGGTGGGATTTATTACTTGTCTTTCCAAAGGCGGCCCCTGATCCACCACCTTTTTAATTTATTAATATTAGTTTCAATGCATTTTTATTGCAACAGTTATTGCTGAAATTATGTTTGGAAGCTAACAAGAATTCTTGAGATGGAGAATCTCTAACGTGCAGCTGTCCCCAATGCCTACTTCTGGTTTATGCATAATGAAGACTAAATGGGAATAGTTTTGAACCTGTTGATGCTGTTAAGACAAGTGTACTGGATGGGGCTTTGCACAGTGAAATTGGCACCATAAAATGCCCCAGATTCATGTTTCCTTTTCTCTTGTCTTCATGTCAAGCTAAAATAATTTACTGCCTTGTAGAGAAGACATCTGAAGCTGAAGTCAGTCTGCAGGTGGGAAATCATTCTCCAGACCAGTGATGTTCAGCAGGGACTGCCACCCTGAGAGATGAACAGGACTTTCAAGGTCAGACAGCAAATCGACAATGTAGGGGGAATATTCATCCAGCAGGAACCTGTACCCTGCTGCAGTTTGCATGCTCTGAATCACATCACAGATTGTTAAAAGCTATAAAAACTGACTTTGCTTCTCTCTCTGCAGAAGTTTGCAGTTCAAGAATCTCTTTGAAAGCATGATGTATAAGAAAGCTGCTGCCTCCCCATCACTTCAGCACTTGTACCTTGACAGTCACCTCCTGATATTCCTTTCTGGTGGGATTTTTCTCCTCCATCTCTAGGAGAGCTTTTTTTTTTTTTTTCCCTTTTATTCTTTTTTTTTTTTCCCCCACCAGGACAGAAACCCCAAGGAGCACTGGCTGGAGTGAGCTGCTGCCAGTGCTTGCCTCGGTGATGGGCACAGGAGCAGCCATGGCTGCTGCAGGAGTGGGGGTGGCCACGTTGGGACAGTAAGTGGCACGGGCCTGGTGCAAGGGCTCAGGCTTTGGGTTTGCCATGCTTGAACATCCCTCCAGGGCAGGGGAGTGGAGGTTCACGCTGTAAGGCTATATTAATGAAATCCTTCTTTACTTGTTTTCCAATTAGCCTAATTGAATTCGGATTGCTTAAAAGTGGGCACCAGAGACATTTATCTTGATGGGATGACGGCCTTGAGCTCCAGCGATCCTATTAACTGTAAGAACCCAAATCCCAGGTAGGGCAGGTCCAGCAGTAGCTCCCATGTGACCTAATGCCTTTAATCTGCTCCTCTTCCGTGCAGCTCACACACACACGTGCACATACAGCCATGTACTCATATGCACACATGCGCACAGGTGCATGCACATATATACACGTGGATTTGCACACACATGCACAAAACACATATACACATGCACACACAGACATGCATGCACATGCAGTATCTAACTCTTTAGGTTCCAGCAGCCTTAAGAGAAAGATTATTTAGTGAAAGACCTTGGAGAAATACCTTACTTTATTGTCCTTATGAGTTCACAGAATCAAAATCCCAGACTCACAGACCAGTTGGGGTGGGCAGGCAGCTCCTGGTCCCCCAGCCCAGCAGCCCCCCAAGCAGGGTGCCCAGCCCCACGGCCTGGCAGCTGCTGGAGACCTCCCCGAGGAGCCCCCAGCCCCTCTCTGGGCTGCGGCACCGCCCGGCACAGGAGTGCGGCCTAGCGGGCAGGGGGAGCCGCTGGGGCTCCACTACAGGGCTGCCGCTGCGCCTGGACATGGGCAACTCTGACAGAAGCCTGCTTTTTCATTGCATCATCTCTTCAGGTATTTATGTAGATAGGTGTCTTTATACACACTGATGTATTTATATACATCTATTTATATTAATTGAGTCAAATTGGTGTTAGCATGCTGCTTGCCGGCCCTCTGTGCTCCAGGCTCCCGTGAATCGTCTCCAGGGCTAAGCCTGATGAGCTGTGGGGAGGCCTCAGTGCTGAGGCCCTGCGAATGGTTCACCCCTGAGAAATGCTGCACCCCTGAGGTTGATGGCAGTGCCCAGCTCTGAGGGATCCCTGCACTCCAGAGGCCACACTGGCTGCTTGGGGATGGGGGCAGCTGGGAGTGGTGCAGGCCCTGCCGTCTCTGGGGTCTGCTGGTTTCACCCCAAGCCTGCTGCCCTTGCCCACGGGTCACTGGGAGCTTTCTGTGGTGGAGGTGCCACCTGGCAGTGGTGGTCCTGGGGTGCTGGCTGTCATGGTTGGGCACTGTCAACCCCTCCATCCTGCCTGCAGCCCAGCAGGGCCTCAGCACCACTTCTGCTGCCTGCCACCACCACTCCTGCCTTCTAAAATAAGCACGTGGCTCCTCCAGACAGTGCCCGGGGCAGCTTCCTGAATCCCCAAACAATTGTGGGAGCCAGGGCAGCTTTTACCTCATAGTTCTGCAGCTGCTGTGGGAGGATGGGGACAGCTGGTGCCAGAGGGATGAGCTGCACCGTGCTGCCCGGGGTCAGCCAGCAGGGCAGATTTGCGGCCAGGCCCTGGCCATCATGCTGACCCACACAGAGCTGCTGGGGCGCTTTGGTGCAGTGGCGCTGGCCCCACCAGCCCAAGGCACACCCAGTGCCAGCCCGGGAGCAGGCGCAAGCCCTGGCAGCCCAGGGAGACACCAGTTGGAGCGGAGGCCATGCCAGACTGAGAGTTTTTACATCTACAACACTAAAAATGGTGCCAATGGCAGCCCAGGCTGCTCCAGCAGCAGATCAGATTGGCTGTGGCCAGCACCAGGGCCAGGCAGCGTCCCCTGCCATGGACGGGGTCCCTGATCCATCCCGCGCCAGCCCCCAGCCACCTCCCAGCCCCGCTTGCCTCTGCTAACCCTGATTTTTTTTTTTTTTTTTTGAATCTTGTTAATCACTTGTTTGGTGATTCTGACTGTACTTTCTTCTCTGACCCTTTAAACCGTGAAAATGCTGATCCTATATGTGCTGACGAACTTAATTAGCTCCTTTAAACCACCAGATGCTTTCAATAAGATTTTCTGGATGTCCCAGGCACATTTTAATTCAAAGGTCAAAAGTCTTAGACTTGTTTACTGTGGTGTTTTAGAGATAAAATAATTCACCCTGTAAAGTAACAGAACAGTGTGGAGACACCTACCAGCTTTATATAAATACAGAGGGAAGCATGTTTTCTTGGGGACTGCAGTGGGGGAAATGTTTAATAACAGGCTTTAAAACAACTTTGTAACTCGGATTTGAGCAGTCATTGCCAAGCTTTCTCAAGAAGATTGCAAGCAGCCAAGAACCCTCCTGCACAGAGATGTCCCATGGGCCAGCATCTGCCACCTCTGCCCGCCTCTCCACTGGCAGCTCTGGCATCATGACCAGCTCCCAGCACCAGCAGCTCCCAGCAGGATGGGACCAAGCACGGTGCACAGCTGGCAGGGCAGGGACTCTCCAGCCAGGGCTGAGCCCTGCTCTGCCTCATGGAGGCACAAGGGCAGCCTGCAGGTGCTGCCTGGATTCACCAGAGAATCCAGATGGCCAAGTAGGCAAGGCACGTGGCAGGTTCTGTGTCTGTCTGCCCCTTGGCACTGCCGCCGTGCAGCTGTGGGTGACTGTTGTCCCACTCTGCAAGGAGAGGTGCCGTCCCAGTGCATGTGGCAAGCTGCTCTGTGCTGCCACAATGGGGGGACTTAAGCTGCCAGATAAAAGAGGCAGGTGTTCTTCCTGTACTTAAGTCTGAGGAGACCCAGCTGTCTTCTGCATCCCCCGGAAGATCCTCCCTGTGGGTGGTGGGGCCTTCCACAAAGTCAATCCATACGACCACCCAATTTTTCTCCACAAAACTCTAATTTCCCAGGGCTTGGCAGAGCCACCACAGGTGGTGAAGGACATGACCCAGCACTGGCAAAGAGAACTCAGAACAGGGTGAATTGCACATCTGGAGCACACTGTGCTTTGTAGACCAATCTTCTGTGCTTTGGAGAAGAGAGGAGAGGAGAGGAGAGGAGAGGAGAGGAGAGGAGAGGAGAGGAGAGGAGAGGAGAGGAGAGGAGAGGAGAGGAGAGGAGAGGAGAGGAGAGGAGAGGAGAGGAGAGGAGAGGAGAGGAGAGGAGAGGAGAGAGGAAAAAAGGGAAGCAAGGAGGGAATGAAAGAGAAAGAAAGGAGACAAATCATATTTAGTGCATTTATTCATTTTGAATGAATATTTTTACTTGTTTTGGTGGAGACAGAGAAAGAGAGAGACTTATAAACCTGTAGGAAGGTGCTACACACAATCACCTGCATATTTCATTCACAGACTATCTCTTGTAAAACTTACAAAGTACTTCATTTCACAGAATATTTGGGCTCCTCATGAGCAGCATGGTATGCATCAGCCATGTGTTAGAGCAGTATGGCCCCTGTATGGATTAGCATGCATGGTAACTCATTGCCGTGCAAGTGCAGAGACAGATCGATGTTCACATCTGCCTTAAGCACAGGGCCAGAGAGGTGCCCTGTGCTGGCCCAGGTTGCTCGGGTCTCTGGGCCAGTGGCACAGGCAGCCAGCTGGGTGCTCATGTGGGGCTGGGCTGCTCTAGCTGTTACCCAGTATCAGTCCCCCTTGCTGGGGAGTGGGAGCTGTCGGGTCAGCACCCGCTTAGCTTCTCCACAGGAAAAAAAAAAAAATAATAAAAAAAATTTTGCTTGGTCCTGAACCTAAGGCTGTTGAAATGGGTCTGGCTTGTCCTGCGGACTCAGTCATTCAACACCAGTGAAAGACACACTTTTTCTCATGGTTTGGGTGCACTGCCTGGGCATAGTCTGCCAGGGAGGCCAGGTTTATGTTTACCTCTGCCTGGAGCTAACTTCTAGAGTAAATGCAGTGAACTATACAAGTTACATGCTGGTATTCAAGCCCCAGAATTTGGCTCACACAGAAGCCAAGCAGAGGGGCAGTGCTGACAGCTTAGATTTGAGCTGCATTTGAAGACCAGCAGGATGCGACACTGGAGCAGCCTGGAAGAGTCTGCATTGCTTGTTGTTCGTGGTTCACTGATAGCTTACCAAGCCTTGGTTTCCTGCAAAGTCCCACTCATTCCTATGTACAATGACCTTATTGTCCCAAGCTATAGCATTTTATGCTTTTTTATATGTAGTACAGAGGTGTTCAAAACCTTTTTTTTTTTTTAAAAAAAAAAAAAGTTTTGCAAAAAACATCAACATTTGAATATTGGTTTTCTTTCAAAATGTTTGAAACAGACATTTTATTACATATATATATATATATTTCCTTCTGAAAGCAGTATTAAATGAGTGATTACCTATATGTTATGCAACAGAAGCACAATTTTAATTACAAAATACACATTTAGTAGCATTTTGATCAGTTTGAAAAAATGGAAAAAGGCACATCTTTCCCCCCCCCCCTTTTTTTTTTTTTTTAAGCCATCTTTTTCCCATGGAAAAATGTCATGTTAAAAAATTAGGATCATTTCTAACTTTGCACTAAGCAAGTCACAGCACTTAATTTTTGACCCCCTGGAGGTTTTAAAGTCTCTCTCCCTCTCTTTTATATTTACATTTACTGCTATAGAGCTAAGTGCATTCTTCTGCCTGCCCTCACCCCCCACTCCCGTGAGACAAGGTTGAATTCACAGCCCTGGGATAGCAGTGCCTCTTCTACATCACAGAACACTTCTGCTCAGCAGCCTGTTTCATTTCAGTGAAGGTGGCTTGTGCCTTTTCTTTGATCGCATCCATGTCCATATTCTGAATATTCTGCAACTGTCCCAGGATAGAGTCCTTGTCCTCTTCTTCCACCTGATCTTCTGCCACCATCTTCTGAAGGTCTTCTGGCAAACCCACATCATCTCCAGCCATCTGTATTTGATTCTCATCCAATTCACTCTGATACAAAACAAAATAAAAGCAGTACATGAGAGTATTTCTGCTTCCCCAGGACCTAAAGAGCCTCTTTTTTGTTCGTTTGTTTGGTTGTTTAGTTTGGTTGGTGTGGGTCCTGCCCACAGGGCAGCAGTACCTGGCACACCTTGTTAGGGTGCTCACGACTAGGCTAGTCTTTCCATGAGGCATGCGGCTGTCCCACTGCAGTTACCTCCTTGAGAAGGAAGGTGAACAGCCCAGGCTCTTCTGCCAGCATGCACAAGTTTTGGGCTGCATCTTGATTACCCTTCCCTTCAGCACTGGATGCTTTGGGTTTTGCAATTTTTCTTATATATATGTATGTATGTATGTATGTATATAGGCAAATTAAGATACTACACTTTTAAATAAAAGGCTACTTTGTGCTCCATGTGCATGCCAGGATAGCTGTAGCTGTGAATCTGTAATGCTTTCAGGTAAAAGTAGGCGGTGTGTCAGTCTGTAGAACCCAAGCCAAGATCAGGAAGAAAACCACTGGTATTCCAGTGGCCTGCTGGAAGCTGCCCCGGAGGCAGATATATGCAGGTGCTGAGTGACGGAGGTCAACTTCCTAGAAACTGGCCACTGGAATATCATGGTAGGTGTTAGCTCCTCTTACCTAATATAGAAAGTAAACTCACTTTTTCTGCCATTTCTTTTCAGGCTATTGACAGATTGCTGTTAATCTTCCATCCATTTCATTATATGAAAATAAGTATGGCATTTGATGGCCTGATAGACTACTTTTTTGTTTTCATTACAGCTGGGAAGGTAAAATAAATGACAGTTAAAAACAGCGTGAATCTGAGCTGCTAAATGGCATATATTTTGCTTAAAGTAAAAATAGGTCCTATTTATAATGCAAGCCTAATAGCCACAGGGCTTTATTTGATCAGCTTTACTGCTTTCTACCTTTTGTATTAGGGAATGGATCAGCAAGTAAATTCACCATTTAGATATTTGCATTGAAACATGTTGTAGCAACAGGGCTGTCATGAATAGATTCTTCTGCCCCAGAACTGAATTATCTACCACTATCATGCAATGCCTGACTATCGCCTACAGTTACATAACGAATAGCAGCCCCCCTCCCCGCCCCTCCCAAATCAGGTGCTCTATACACATGTAGGCAATGAGGTCTGCAAAAAACTCGCTCTGCTAAGGTCTACCACAAACCCACAAGTATATCAGCAGCACTTTGTTCAATACTTCAGTTTCATTGAAGTCACACTAGCTGTGAAACTTCTTTTCTACTCCTGCTCTGGAGTTTCAATCTGGAAGGTTGCTATTACTTCTGTGTTTCATATACTTTCTGTTAGGCAGCAATTAAATAACAATAATTAAAAAAAAAAAAAAAAAAAAAAAAAAAAAGATAATGCTCAAACTGTACAAAATTTTATATTAAAACAGAGAGCATTTCATCTGGATACCTGCCATTTTAATAGCTAGACATGCTCAGGAGAATAGACTGGAAAATGGCCTGCAGCAGTTTCAATCGAGAAAGAGTAAGGGAGAGATGAGATTTGGTGATTATCAAAAACTGGTTTCAGCAAGGTTTGACACAGGCCCTGCAGTTTCTGTCTTGGCCATGCCAATGCCAAGTCCCTGTAGCAGCTCACTGTTCTAGCAATGGGACAGTAAATGGCCTTCCCCTTTTAAGACCCTTTGCATTGGCAGAGGGGCATGAAGAAAGCTGCATTAATGCAAATAGGATTTCTGACACAACTGAGGTCTTTCTGGGTTTTCAGTGAACTATAAAAGGAGCCTGCCCAGTTTGAGTGTTTAATATGAAGTATCTTCTACTTAGAACTTCGCACAATACAAAGGTCACACAGTGTAAGAAAACTTAGAATTACTGGAAAAAAGGTCTCCATCTTCACCAGACCATGTCTAAACCTTATCTAGGCCTTTGGTTGGCACTCCAAGTCATGACGAAGAGCAAGGGATGCCTGGCACATAATCAGAGCAATGCTGTAGTGCTGGTAAGTGGGATAATAGGAGGACTTAACAAAAGAAAGGATGGAGTTTTGGTGCACGTCTGAGAAAGCAAAAAGAGACAAGAGAAGGAACTGGTTAAGCAATTAAAAGGGCTGAGATGCAGTAGGCACTAGGCACACTTGCTTCCTGCCCGCCTGTTGAAACACTCTATCAGTGGGGCTATGTCAATTTTTCAAACAATGGCGATTTTGTTCACATTTTGTTGTGGATTCTGATGGATCCTGAGCACAGAAGAACAGGATATTTTGACACAGTTCACACATCAAAGATAAGCATTAATGCTTCATTACATCTCCAAAATGAAGCATGACAGCAGCAAAGGCCTGATATGAATAAGTAGCAATGCTGTCAGCAGGAGGTGTTTTTGAGAGTGAGAGGGGTCTTGGGTTTGCATGAATGAATGAATGCAAGGGTGAATGGAAGGATGTATATGAGCAATGGCTGTGTAGTTTCAGGCTTTTGCAAGAACAAGCAGGCGGGTATGCTTGACTGCATAGCCACTATTTACTGTTACATTTACTTGCACAGCATTATGCTTGTAATAACTATACTTCCCTTTAATCTGATTTCCCCCATTTCTTCTGAAAAATACAGAGAGGTTTATCATGATTGATGCTACTCAATCATGTAGCTAAAATGAGTAAGGAGATCTCTTGACCCTGTTGAATATGGTTTGCTGCCGTCAAATCTGTGGGAGCTAGTAACAATATCCCAATCAGCAGAAGTGTTCTTTATTGATTGTGTAGCAGGAGCAACAGTTTAAGCTTTTAATCCACAAGCAATAGCTATCAGAGGAGTTTTCCTTCTGAAATTCTCCCACATCACAGTACAGGATGATAAAAAGATACTGGGCTACTTATTGAAGAAGTCTTCCTAAGCAGCCGATGACACGTTTTCTTTCCTTTAGAACTGCTTATAATTTATCATCACTGCATGCTAGCATATATTTTGTGGAGAAATGGCCATACAATGCACATGAAGGCAATGTTGGCGAGTTGAATTACTGTTTGGCATGTTTTTGCAGCAATGTCCCCTGTCCTGCTGAAGTCTGAGATGTGATGCATGGCACAGTTTGGGGTTTCAAAGTGATCTCTGACCAAAGATGACTGTATCCAGATGTGGTTGAAAGCAGCAAAATTCTGCCAGAGTCACTGAAATTCCACCTGCTTCTATCCTCTTGATATATAGCCTGGCCTTGAGTAGACTCAATATGAGCCCCAACACAGGAGGGCTGCTCAACAGCAAGCAAAGAAGCCAGCAAGATGCATTGCCTCTTCTTTTTTCTTCTAAAAGTTGTCAGATCTGGTTCTGTTCCTTTGTTGTTTAAATGGAAATGTTACCTTAAATATCTGATTTTACCCAGTGTTGGGGGGTGGGAGGGAGGTTGTTTTGTTGTTGTTGTTTGTTTTTAAGCCTGGTGGAAACAAGCTTTGCTTTCTCACAAGAAGAGATGAGACAGTTTTCCCACAGAATGTTCTTAAAGTCAGGTAAATGCTGCTGCAAGCATCTGCGTACACAGTGAGCATGCAGCTCCAAGCACACACTTTCAGAAGCCCAGAGCAGGAATGCGGTGCCGGAAATGCACAATTATGTCTGTTAGTTGCAGGCAGCAGCTTGGGATCAGAGTGCAAGCAGGGTCTGCAGCTCCCTGCTGTCCCAACATGCACACAGGTGGGGACTGTACCTCGCTCAAAGCCAGGTACGGCTGCAGTAGTGATGGAGGCACTACCCTGCATCAGAATACACCCATCTTGGACCACAGACAGCATCCAGATAGGCAGTGCTAGTGGATAGGACAGGTTGGGGGGGTCTCTGACAAAGCCACACAGAAAGCCCCCCTTCCCTTAGTAAACCTACAGCAGGCTGGATCATCTGTCTCCTCGTGAATTAGCTCTCCTATCTCCATAGTCTCCAGGTCTCTGCAAGTGCTCAGCCACCCTTTTAGGGTCTCTGAGAACACAGAAACAACATCTATTCCTAGCAAATTAAATATACCTCGTGCTGGTCTCTTGCCCCAAGGCCAGCTGGCCTGCAACAACCCATGGCTATGCTATTGAGCTTTTTTGCCCTACAAAACAGGGTGGTCCCATCTAACTCCCTGTTGGGAATGCCTGTCCCAGCTCCCAAACCAGCCCTGGGAACTGCCTGGGAGAGTGCCCAGGCCAAAACTGGGACAGACACTATTCTGACAATTCAGCAGCACAGATGCTGGAGCCTGAGTGCCTGGGAGTGTTCTTTGACCCCGATTATGCACCTGGTGCAGTAATGCGGGTCAATGGATCAGACTCGGCCAGATCCATTTTGTTACAGGAGTGATCCAGCTCTGAGTTCTCTGTACAAATGTGGCAGGCAGCTGTAAGCAGAAAACAGGCTGTCTATTTTTATAAAGTCTGTAAGCAAAAGTGATGAAAGCTTACTGACTAATCCCCAGTGGAGCCAAACTGTTTTCCAGCATCACTAAGTGACACGTAATTTTCCTTTTGGTTATCTTCCTGCCATAAAATTTACCTGTGCCTATACACAGAGACCAGTAGATAGGAGAACCCAGACCTGATCCTGTCTCTTGTCCCCTGCAGTGCACCAGCTGTGTACAGAACCAGAGCTCACCGACAACTTGACCTACAAGCAGGAGCCACCACGAGTGATGCAGCATCATGGTGCTGACCTGGCCTCTCCCCGCGAGCCTCTCCTGTGCCATGTCCATGGCCATGCTGGGACCACAGGTAGGGCACCGGGCAGGATGAAGTAGAAGGCAAGAAGTGAATAAAAGGGTTTTTTGTTGGGTAGTGTTTTTGGTTAGTTGGTTCGTTGGTTGGTTTGTTTGTTTTGTTGTTATTGTTTTTAAACACACATTATTACTTGCATCACTATGCATTAACAAGGATTTAGCATATACATTTTTGGATGACACTCCTCTGACCATAAACACAGGTCTTCAGGAAAACCACAGAGGGGATAGTGCGATTTCCAAATTTCAAATAAAAGGA